GTTAGCTACATTAGCCTTGTAGCTTCAGTGCAAAACTAAGACTAACACCTTATGTGTCTTAACTTAATTGCCTGCATTTGGCTGCCTAAGGGGCAAATTGTCATTTTTGACCAAAACATCACTTCCAGATCGGCCACATGATGTTTAAATAATGTACTGTTTTGCTTTTCCTCCCTCTCTCTCTCTCTCTCTCTCTCTCTCTCTCTCTCTCTCTCTCTCCCTCTCCCTCTCCCTCTCCCTCTCTCTCTCTCTCTCTCTCTCTCCCTCTCCCTCTCCCTCTCTAAATGCAACATTACAAATAAACCTGTGATTCTGCACATGGTGAACGCTGGAAAAGCTATATCAGCAAAAGCCTGAAAACACACTGCTACGGCAGTGGCATCTGCTTCAGCGGGCCTCTGGTTTACAGTGATGAGTGTGCGAGTGTGTTTACTTTAGGCAGCATGTGGTGAAACACTCTGAAATAACCTCCGTTAATGTTTAACGGCTCCTTATCTTTTTTTTCTCTCTCTGTGTATCATCCCGGACCTCTGTGTGCTCATTGAGAAACTTTGCTCAGGGGCTTCTGAATTAGAGCCCTCTTTCTCAAATGCAGCTTAGCACAAGATCACAGAGCATGTATGGAGCAAAGAAACTCCAGTACATGAGTATATCAGTCCACTAGAGAGTAAAATGAATCAGCATATACAGAAGAAGAATGCCAGCAGGCCAGTTTGTCAGTATTTTGGTTTCCACTCAAATTAACATGGAGAGCCAGTGTTAACTGGATATTGTCCATGGAAAATATATTTATCAATATATAAATTAGTGAGTAATATTAGAAGCCAGCCCAGACAGTAATTATATGGTAGTTATATGACCATCACAGAGAATACAAGCGATAGGGTAAGGCTCTGTAATGCTCGCCTGTGGAACTGCAGTTAAATTACAGTAATACAGTTCAGTAGGATTATTAAACAATAATAGTTTGCCTAACTTTGCATTATCATCCAAGCTTACTGGCTGTGTAGCACAATGAGTGCATTTACATGCCCTTAATAGTCTGACCATAATCGGATTTCTTCAGTTATCTGATTATTCGAGTGGTCATGTAAACAGCATACTCTGATTTCTTAGATTGGATTAAGGCCTAGAAATCAAATTAAGAAATCCAATAAAGAGATCTGCATTTTAGCTCAGTAGTTGGGTTTTTCAGTGCCGGTATACCCAGAGAACTTGTAGTATTCATTTTACACACACAGAATAGCATAAAACATTTTAACACTGTTATAGGAGTTTAATATGGCACCTCATGTATTTTTATAACATCAGTGAGCGCAAACAGCCAATGAGCTGCTCTTCTCACCAACCAGTCAGCACTCGCTAGCAGCAATGCTAGCATCCTGCTTCCCAAAATCCGTTTACTGTCAAAAAAAAAGAAGCGTACAGGTTAGTGAAATACATCCATCTACTTTCTGATTAGAAACTATTTTAACTTTTTCGTTTTTAGCCCTTTAACTCCATTCACCCCGCCCCCCACATTCATTAAGGACTCACTTGTGGGCACCCTCTGGCGCATTGCAGTCCTGTTTTTTGATATAATGGGGGAAATAGGAAGAGGCCAGGCTCCTATAAACTGGCTCTGGTGTACCCTCTGATGTCTTTCGGTTTTCTAAGTCTGCGCATGTGTGAAAACAGCAAGCAGCGTTTAACACATCACCCGCATGACGGCAACAGAACACCTTTGGAGAGAAGCTGAAACCAAGTACATGCTTGACAAAATTAAGAATTTCAGTATTCTTCATCTTCTGGATAATGTGTATTCATATTTTCTGCTCAAGTTTTGCAGTTGAGTTTTCCGTCACGTCTTCTTCTGGGAGTTTATTGTCCGGTTGCAAACCATAAATCCAGTATATTTGAATAGATTATTTTTTTACGCTTTTTACAAAAAATGCTCCAAAAATTCTGAGACATACTGTAGCTAAACTGTTCAGGTGTAGTTTCAGTTGCTTATTTCAGATACAAAGACTAATGCTAAAAGCTCATTGTGAGTGAAATCATGCTGATAGGCTAACACAAATCTTGCTCAGGACTGATGGTGTAGTAAGGTATTCCAGTGTTTGATACTAAGTTAACTTGTAGTTTTATAGAAATGGCATTTTAAATGCTATATGAATTGGCTAATCCTCTTAGTCTGATATCTCTGTGTTCAGGTTTGTTAATGATATGCTGTGGGGAAGCAAGGGACTCAGGATGCGCTCAGCTTTACTTTGAATGATGTCAAAATTACAGCCAAACATGCAGGAGACTATTCTTCTTTGTGTAAACGTTTTATTGTTTTGGTATTTTTTATTAAATTACCTTCAGTCTTACAAAATACAGAAAATACGGTCAAAGCTGTGCAGCCCTTAGCTACATGGGTACGGCATGATTTTATAGGCTATCATGATGTTTATTGTTAGATAATGATGTTGAACATTGTTAGCTGTAGTTGGCCATATATCTAATATTTCTGTTTTTTATATGAATTCTTATTTTTAATAACCCTGTGGAATTATTTGTGTGCTAAATGCAAAATCTAAAATGTAAAATATCCACATTAAATACTATAAAATGTTAAAATAATTAATCAAATTAAATAATTTATTTAAATAATCAGTTTATCATATCTGCCTGTAAATTCCATGTTCAATATATCCATACATCATCTAAATTACATATATCAGTGCATCTCTAGGAAAAAAAAACACTGACTGTTCACATGGTTCATTTTCATATTACAGCCTTTTGCACTGTCAGTATTGGAAATGCCAATATTGTAATAACGATTAACTAATAACATATTGTGCAGCTGCTGCTCAGTCTGTGTCACAGGGTTTGCGTTTCGAACTTTGCTGTTGCACTATAGGGAGATTTTATCTTTGTATTACCGGTGAAGTTACTCAATGTATTGACTTCATCTCAGCCCTAGTTGTTGGTATAAAGGTTATTTTGTGCAGGTTATGGAGGTCTGTGGTGTTATCCATCTCCTGTTTATGGAAAGAGTGTAAAGATTCCGATTTTCTGGCTCTATTGTCAGCACTTCACAGTGAAGGCATTCATAAAACTTCTGTATTGAAATGCTTTGAGGCTTTTCAATTGCACATATTGTTGCTTGAATCCATTTTTTGATATAGAACATATCGTCGCTGTCAAAAGAATCCTTTCCTTTTTTTGAAACACCAGTGAACCAATAGAATTGGTCCAAAATGACTTGGAAAACAATTACATTAACAGATGTTAAGAACTTGTTTTTTTACTTCTTCTCAAAAGATACCATTTCAGAGAGTTTTGTGATGACAGCAACAATACGAGTTCTTTTTTTATCCCGTTTGAGTTTGAGTGTCTGTGATGGTGAAGCTGTTAGGAAAGCTAAAGTAGAACAGTGTGCGCAGGTGTCTCTGGGTAATGTTTAATGCAGGTCCATGCAAACTCGCTAATCTTTACATCATTATTTCTGGATAGTTTTTGTATGGTATGATGTTGAACTACAATATGGAGGGGGCAGAGGTCAGAGGCCTGGTCTTTCAGCCCTTTACTGCCCCCATGAGGCCTGCAGAATTGAGGCCTGTCTCACCAAGCAGGATTTCTTGATTGGCCAGCTAACTTAAAACTTAGTTATAACTAATTCTCACAGCACTGGATCATGTCTGACCACTATGGCAGCTGATGCTACGCACCTAACCTTGTCCAGGTTATTATTCAGCTATTAACTTGTTTTAAAATTCACAGAAAAGAAGGAAAATAGCACAGTAGCCCCTGACATGTCTGACATCTGTAGCTAACAACCGATCATATGAAAGTCTTTGCTTTTTGTAACATATTTCTCTGCTGGAAAGTAGCCACTCAACTCCTATCCTTACAGTTATCTGTTGTAAATGCCACGCTTTCACATGCACCTGCACAAGGTTAAGCCTAAGGAACCTAAACCTACGTTGACGGAGAAAGTTGTTAACCACATTCTGGGGCTGGTGCTAATCTTTCGGTGGGCCCTAAACTGGATTTTTTTTGGGCCCCTCCACCATCTTGCCCATTGAAATACTGTAAAATTAGAGGCTATCTAATAACAATGTCTACCACAAGCTGTCTAAATAATGTACATTTATTATAAACATATACATTATATACATTTATAACTTTATAACTGGCTAATTAGTGTACTGCTACAGCCTATTGTATTTAATATTTCTACTTACCCCCAATAATGTGATTTAAGCTATCAAAATATCCTAATTTGTTTTCAAAGCTTGTTTGGGGTCCTAATAAGTTACAATTGAAATTACCGATAGCATTCTCAATCCAGGGCTCTGTCGCATGATAGTATTTCTTGCTCACCCAGTTAAATTTGGTCTTAGTTCAATCTAACCCTGGTGGCAGTGGTGACAGCTTTGCTTTTTAAGCTTATAAATGTTTTACTTTCTACATATTTGGGTAGTATGATTTCTTTTTCTTTCTTCAGCAGCCTCTCATGTTTCAAACCGTTAGTCATAAATGATATGCTTTCATGTGCACTCGCACAAGAATCAATCACAGTCTGAGTATCTGAACCTTGCTTCTTCCCCCCTCAAGCATTTTAGATACCATGGTTAGAGGTGTAAGAAAATATCGATACACATGAGTATCACAGTATTATGCTTTGTGATACTGTATCGATTCTCATATATCGCTTTGCTTACAGTATTTCAATATATCGCAATATATTGAATCATAATCCTTGTATCATGATGCGTATCATATCACCAGGTTCTTGCCAATACATGTCTTTAATTATGGTACAGTAACAACCCTGAAGTTGTTAGGGGGCCCACTGGCCCTAAGCAGCTGCTAATGTCACTTATTAGGTAAAGCTGGCACTGCTGCCATCATAAAACAATTTAACCACGTTTGCATTTGTTAGTTTTTGTGAAGCTGAAACTTCAAGCTAATCGTGTTACGTGAGACAGGGCCTCACTTTCTCTTGTCTTCTCTCTCTTCACTTTCAGGCCTTTCTCGTTTCCTGCAGGACCCTGAGCCTCAGGTTGTGCCTGCGAGTGGCACTGCCCGTTTTGAGTGCCAAGTAGATGGTCTGCCCGTCCCCACCATCACCTGGGAGAAAGACCAGGTGCCACTGCCGGTACCCACAGAACCGGACGAAACATCAAGGTGAGACACTCTGCTCTTTACCCGTCAATTGCCCCTGTAGGTCACAGGCAAGCATTCTGCGCTTGCCATTGTGTGTGTTGGAGGTCTTTTAATTATTTTGTATTTTTTAATTTGCCATGACATAAAACCTGCTTATTTAAGACAGTTATAAATATGTCAGTAAATGTGCTGTTTGGTTTATTTTTTTTATGAAATGTTGAAAAGCAGTAGTAACTGGAAGAAAACAATGTTCTTTACTCACCTGTCAATTGTGGTGCATCCTATAAAGGGTAAAGAAATGGAAAAAGAGAAAAACAAAAGGGAAGCCGTTCATTTACAGTTCATCCTGTAAGTTTATTTTAAAATATTTTTCTGTGGCAGTTCGAGAGTCAGTTAAATTTTTTTATTTGTGGTTTTGTGTAGTGAGAATATTATATTTACATGTGAAAGTCATGGGCTTGGTAAAAGCACACAATTATCATCATTTAACTTCAGTGTGTCCCTGAAAAAAATACCATTATCTGTTATCATACTACAGTTTCTATGGTTATGACATCAGCTGTTTAGGGCCAGTCCTGAAATATGGTGTAGGCCACATCAGGACAATACTGTTTTATTTTGTTTTATTTTTCCTTGTCTCTCTTTCTCTACCTGTCTCTTGCTTTCGCTGGAGGTTGTGGTCTGAAGTAGAACCTTTTCTCTGCAGTTTCAAGGCTTCTCTGTATAACTCTCCCAGACATATAGGCCGCCCACGCACATTCTCATGAATTCCATGTTTAGGCTCTGAAGCGCTCTCAATAAGTGTCCATGGATGGAAACCTTCATTGACAATGTGATTTTTGACTAAGACTAACTTGAAAAAAAGATGAAATAAGTGAACAGATCAGTGACCAATTAATTTTCATTTGCATCTGACTAAATGTAATGAAACTAAAATGTCACAGATACGTAAGTCCATGTGGATTTAACACTGTTTTTTTTCATAGTAATCTACAGAAGTTGTAAGTCCAACACACTGCATCGTAACTGTCCTAACAGTGGGTGCGTTTACATGCACATGAATAATACGGCCATTATCTGACTTTAACAGACAAATATTCAAGCATTCATATAAACAGCATACTTCAATTTCTTAGATTAAATCTGATTTCAAGAAATCTGATCTGGATTTTAGCTAAATAGAGATGAACTACCTGAGAAACAGTAAACACCATACACTTCTTTCATGCTAAAACTGCAGAATGACAACAAATGACCACATCATGTTCAGTTTGGAGCCGTAAAACTCCAGACTAAACATGTTTGAATTTTACGTCACATGCTTCTTTGGCGAGTACTAAGCAGCAGTGGAGGTGCAAATTGTGTACTTAGAGAGAAATCTATGTATTGATTGACTCATGAAGACCCAGTGTTTTCTCATTATCAGATTATTGAAGTGCTTGTAAACTTATTGAACAAATTATTGCCAAAATATGATTTTCTGCATTTTTTTTCAGATTATTTTGTTACATGTAAGCATACTCAGCGTGATCTTTCTCTGGCATGGCTGGCCCAAAGAGCATTTTACTGGCTTTGAATACACCTTAGTATTTCTGAAAAAGTACTCAAAATTTCATTATCAAAACAACCTTAAAAACTATAATATTTGAAGCATTTTGTTATTATTTTGTCCATTTGACGGAACAGATAGGTTTCCATTTTAATTAATGTTTGTCAACACCATCTGCGCTAGATGCGCATCTTGCATGCATCAAAATGCAAGCTCATCTGACCGCTTGCGGTCTAAACTATATTTAAAATAGACATTTACTAAACTATATTTAAAATAGTCATTGACTAAAATGTGGTAGTAGCATTGCAGCTCCTGCACTGTACTAACTCGTCTCTGATGTAGCGTTAAAATTGATTTAATTGCAGTAAACAGATCTGTTGTCTGTGCTGTCAAGTGTTAAATCTGCTACAAAGCTGTTATTATTAAAGAAAGGAGCTGGGAGAAGAAGAGCTGATATTCCTACCTGAAGCAGTTATGTGAAGAAGCTGAGTTGGAGGCATTGTGGATTGGATGCATAGCAGAACTCAGATGAGGATCACTAGACTTCCATAACTTTGATGATTTATCAAACTTGTTGCACCTCCATAGTATACCAGCCTTTTATTATTGATTGAGCATTTCTCTTGTCTGATCATTTGAAGTGATTTTATAGCAATATTTTACTCTTTTAGCTTTAATGGCCACATGGACAGTGTACTATACTATCACTATACTATTTGTACTATAATGCACTATACTATTTACTGTGAGTACTATACCAGGGGTCAGCAACACGCAGCTCTGAAACTGCATGTGGCTCTTTTACTGCCCTGTTGCGGCTCCACAGCAGAATTAGATTGTAAGGCAAAAATAAGATAATCCTGCTTTCCAGTAAAATAAAGCTCTGCTGATCATTCTAACACAGTTTTAACAATAAGTGGTCTTAAAACTCTGGAGTTAATTTATAACTGCTAATTCACTCTTTAACCCTGAAGATTGGCGTGAAGACTGCTGATCACACAGCAATGCAATCAACAATCTTACTAGCCTAACTAGTAGCTAATGGAAAGGAAAAGAGAAAGATTTAAGATGAACACTGAAAATTTGGAGACTTATGGACTTATTTGCATTTATAAGCACTCCAGCTGGTTTCCTGATGCGTTTAATCTGCAGTGAGAAACTGTAAAACGCTAAAAAGTCGTGAAGCTGATGTCAGCTTTTCTTTCGACAGTTACTTCAGTCAAATTTAAAGTTGGGAGACATTTTACAAGAAAATGTTCCACTTTTGCAGAAAAGTTTCCTGGCGGAGATGCAGGAAAAGCAGCAGTCTGCATTTTCATTTATATTTTTTATCCTATACTAGGTCATTTGCATATACTGAGACATATTTACAGCCAAGATGGTACAATCTTACTTCAATAAAATGGACTTAAAATGTTGTGGCTCCCAAGGTGCTTTAATTTTTCCTGACCCCTGTACTACTATTTAAACTTGGAAAGTTTAAGTAGAGAATAAAATAAAATTGAATAAAAATTAAAAACTGAAAAAAGAAAAAAATGTGATCTCAGTTCCCAGAAATCACTGGGCCTTCTCTGAGGTCCTAGAATGCCCTGAGGGTCCCCTCTGCTACATAGAGAACTGAATATCAACATAACAAATGAATACTGGAGTATTCTCATTATTCAGGCCGTTTCTAGAAATAACATTTGAAATGAACGCGCCTTGTGTTGAGGTACGAGTTGTGCGCTACAATTACCTACTCATTAGGTTGATTGGGATTTAACCAACATATTACTTGGTTGAGCTTTTTGCTCCGTTGCTGTGCTGTCCTGATTCAACCCCTGCAGCCCGAATCCTACACCAGTGAATCAATGAGTCATGCAGCCCACTCTCAACACACATACACACACTGAGCCTCAGACGCTGTGGCCTTTCAGACCGCTTCCCACAAACAGCGATCTGTCTGCTGGATTAATAGCCTATAATGCAATTCCTGAAAGGTCTGGGGGGAGAGGGGTGAAGCCCAAGGTCTCTGAGGGTTTTGCGGTGGATTGTGGGATGAGCTGGAGAGGGTCGGGGGGGGTGTTGGAAAACCAGTGGTGCAACCTGAGCTTTCCTCCAGGGCCGCCATGATGCCACAAGAGGGAAGAGAGGAGAAAAGAGGGAGATAAATATTGACAACAGGAGGACTGGCCAGCGGTCAGCTTTTACACAGCTGTGATGCGCTATGGTCGCTGGCCGACATTTAGAACTTCATGTTCCACACACCTAGTTTCACCCTGTTCCCTGTTTTTCAGCACTGAATCTCTGGTGTAATTTTCAGGTTCTGTTTAATACTCACTTTGCTTCTGGAGCTACGATGCTAATGTAAATAGCAAATAATAGAAGCTCATGACCAGCAATCAGAGAGTAATGGAAGCTAATGACCGCCAATTATCAAACTGCCTTTCTAAATCATCACACATTTGACTCAAACCATTAGCTTTTAAGGAATAATTAGTTGTTAAGTAATCTGCGTTATTTGGTTATTATGTGGTTTTTGACACTGCATGACCGTTATCTATAAAAGTGGACAAAGTTTGTCACATGGCTGCCGCTAATTTTTGTTTTTTGGAAGCATACTTATGTTTCCAGGGGTCTGTTTTTCCAGGGCTGGGCATTCTTTCAGCCCTACATATGATGCATCACAGCTTAATATGATGCATTTAGGAAACCTGTAAGGTCATGAGTAAGGCAATTGCCCTCAGTGAGCTAATTAGCTGGCAAAGCAAACTTCATAATGCAAGCTGTTTTTGAGAAGTCAGACCATAGTATACATAAACTTTCAGAATAATCGCTTTGTCTGGTTCAGCAGTTGTACATTTTGTTGTTGCCAGTTGTGTAGTGCAGAACGAAAAAGCTATACTCACTGAGCACTTTATTAGAAACACCTGTACACCTACTCATTCATAGAGTTATCTAAGCAGTGTAGAAGCCGTGCAGTGTAAACAATCATGTAGATACAGGCCAGCAGCTCCAGGTGATGTTCACATTAATGATCAGAATGAGGAAAAAATGTAATCTCAGTGATTTTGACAGTAACATGATTGTTGGTGTCTGACGGGCTGGTTTGATATTTTCTATAACTGCTGGGGTGGGTTTTTCACACGCAACAATCTCTAGAGTTTTCTCAGAGTGGTGCAATAAAGTAAAAACATCCAGTGAGTGGCAGTTCTGTGAATAGAAATGCCTTGATGAGAGAGGTCAACAGAGGATGATTTGAGCTGACAGAAAGACTACGGTACCTCAGATAACGACTCTTTACAGCTGTGGTGAGCAGAAAAGCATCTCAGAATGCACAACACATCAAATCTTGAGACAGATGGGCTACAACAGCAGAAGACCATGTCAGGTTCCACTTCTGTCAGGAAATAACAGAAAGCAGAAGCTGCAGTGGGCACAGGCTCACCAAATCTGGACTGTTGAAGACTGGAAAAACAGGTCTGATGATGGTCAGATGAATCCTGATTTTTGCTGAGGCACACAGATGGTAGGGTCAGAATTTGGCACCAACAGCATGAATCGATGGACAAAACCATAACAGTCCAGGCTGGTAAAGGTGGTGTAATGGTGTGGGAAAGGTTTCCTTGGCACATTTTGGGCCTACTAATACCAATCAGTCATTGCTTGAATGCCACAACCTATTTGAGTATTGTTACTGACCCTGTGCATCCCTTCATGGCCACAATTTACCCATCTTCTGATGGCTACTTCCAGCATTTTAATGCACCATGTCACAAAGCAAAAGTTCTTAAACTGGTTTCATGAACATGACAATGAGTTCAGTGTTCTTCAGTGGCCTTAACAGTCACTGGATTTGAATCCAGTAGAACACATTTGGGATGTGATAGAACAGGAGATTCACAACATGAAAGTGCACCTGAAAAATCTCCAGGAATTGCATGATGCAGTCATGTCAACATGGACCAGAATTCCAAAGGAATGTGTCCACCATCTTGTGGAATCCATGACACAAAGAACTTAGGCTGTTTTAAGAGCAAAGGGAGGCCCTACCCAGTAATAGTATAGTATTCCTAAAGTGTTTGGTGAGTGTACATTAGTCCACATGTATAAATAGAGGTGAGTAGCTCAGGGCCAGAAAGTGAAAATCCTTCCCCAAGATTTTGTTCCATTTGCTTGGCTTCTCTAATCAGCTGAAACCAGCAGCAGAGGTGTCCAGGCAGTTGGAACAAAATCCTAAAGAGGATTTTTTGCTTTTGGACCTGAATTACTCACCCCTGCATGTAACAGATGGAGTTGTTTACTACGTTTTGAACACAGCAAATCAAATGTTATAGTTTTGAAATCTTGAGTAATAGACTAAATGGATGTTGCGTGAAATAGCAGTCATTTCTGGGCAAGTTTTGCTCCCGAAGTCTATATTTATATGAACTTGATCTCTCACTGCTTCAAGAGGCTGAAACACAGAGCCATGGGAACATAGTTGTTTCCTAGAAAATTTCAGTGAGGGAATATAGGGACCTGAAAACAGGGCTGTTTCTTAGAAACATCAGTGGACAAATAAAGGGTCCTGGGAACATCGGGCCGACCCCATTACGCAACATACTATTGTTCAGTTTTATAAACAACATTGTCTTATAGAGTCTGAAACTACATAAGGAAGTCTATTTATTATGGCAAGTCTGTGATGATTTAGATATCATTAGCCAGCATTACACAATGCTAAGTACTGCTGTATAAGCTTCCATTGCTTATTAGTCGTGCCTTAGTCGCGAAGCTCCAGCGCAAAAGTAAAGAAGCAACTAAACATATCTTAGTTGATCAACTATATTTGGGATAAGGGGGAAGTGTACCTTTCATTTTCTTGCCAAGTCCTTTAACATATGAGAGCAGGAATGCAAATTTACATCTGGGTAAAATGTGTTCTCTCTTTCTCCCCAGCAGGTACGTAACTCTTCCAAATGGAGTCCTGCAGATTTTAGGGGTCAGTAAGGATGATGAGGGTTTGTACCGCTGCCTGGCATCTAACTCCGCTCGCAAACGGTACAGCCAAGATGCTTCCCTCACGGTCACTCCAGGTACCAACACACACGCACACACACTACTGGTCAAAAGTATGGAAGCAAACTGTGACTTTGAATGTTTCAGAGATGTTTTACAATTAAGTCAATTTGCCATCAACAAGCACAATACATGTTTATTGCTGTCTTGCTCAACCATAGAAGTTTTCCCAAAATGTTCCATCCTAACTGTATGGGAAAAGCCTTCCTGCTTTCAATCCTTAACATTGTCTAGATTTCAAATTTCTTCTAATTTAATACACCTGGGGTCATATTAAAGAAACACACTAATTCTGAAATCTTATCTGACATGTTAGTCACCATGATGACTTCAGTAAAGATTGAATTTAGAGCAGTAGCTATTACAGAATTACATCTGCTAATTTTTGATATCTTATTCTCAAATTAAAAAAAAAGTATTACAGAAGCATCTGGATACGCTAAAATATTCTAACTTTAGGATAAATCCAACAGTGTCCTAACTTCTTTTATAAGCTTCTGTCTCTATTGTTGGCCGTTCTGTTGAAATTACATGTTCCTTCTTTTAGGCAACCTTGACAGTTAGCATAACAAGTTAACTATCAATAACTTGCATAATGGCATTACATTTACATACTGTGTCATGTGATCTGTTTTGGATAGTTTAGGGCTTTAGTTTTAGTCTTTGCGAGGTGTTGCATCTCTTGTAGAGCGACTAAGCGTTCATTCCCGTGTGTTGGTTATCCTGTTCCGATTCTGACTTTGCTTCTCTGTTTTTTGGACTTTGCCTTTACGCTTGTTCCCTTTTTGGATTTGTCTGGCTGATCTTGTTTTTGATATGTTTGTCTATTTTTATATCTTGTCTTTTTTACAGTTGACCTTTGCCTGGTTTTTAATGATGAATTTGGATCATTTGGATCAACTAGTGCACCTTCTTGTGCTATTTTTATCTGATCAAACATGATCATTTCCTGCTCTCTGCATCTTAGAATTACACAGTTTTCATTTCTGTGCCTTAAAGTCTGATATAATCAAAATTAACGCTGTTTTGATTGGCTATCCTGTATTGTGCCTCAGACCTGAAACACTCCTTAGACCTTAAGTGTGAATTGGTGGAGCTAAACTGCTGTTGGCTGAATAGGTGGATATATGTAAATAAGTTGCTTCTTATGGCGTCACAGAAACAAAGTAATTCATATCTGACTGTTTTTGCTCCTTAATTCCTGTATATGGACTGAGTAGTGAATGGTGTTTCCAGACTGTGTATGGTTGGTTGCTTAGTGACAATAATTAATAATAAGAATAATTGACTATTGACATCGATTGAGTAGTTTAGTATTTCTTAACTTAAGATTTGGCAAGATAAGATGCAATTCTTAAGATAGGATTTGCTTAAAACTCTTCAGTACAAAACCTAGCATGTGTGCTGTTGCTGCAGATCTATAGTTAAACCTTTTTGTTCTTTACAATAAATGGTAACACTTTATTTGGATGGTGCACTGTAGATGCTTTGTAAATGCCCCGTACATCTTTAAGTAACATTCAACTAAATATCCATTAAATCCAACTGAACCTCTAGTTCAGTGTGAAAGAGTTGATTAAATCTATCCCTAACCCTAAACCTAACCTTAACCTCAAGGCCAAACCTACATCCACTCCTAACCCTAACCATAATGTTGTTGATAATCAACTGAACATCACCAGAAAGTTTGTTAATGATTTAAGTATCTGTAAAGCATCTATAGGGGACCATCCAAATAGAATGTGATCCAATGAACATATAACTGTTTCTTATATCTTGAAAAATAAAAAGATCTTGGGTATGTTTACAAGGTTACTGTTGCTTTCAAACTTTTGGTCTACAGTGTACTCATATGTGCACTCACACCTGTGGCTTCTACAGTGCCTTATTGTAATAGAGCTCATCTCCAGTTTCGGTGTGTGCTGTGCACGGAGAGCTTGAATGGCGTCCTCTCGTTAGAGTGATTCTAATGAGCTTCACTCATCAGCTTAATCTCCTATCAGAGGCAGAAGAATGCGAGCAGCCTGACCACAGACGGTGCAAATCAGTCACGGAGCTCAGATCAGTGCGTTTGTAGTAGCTGAGCTTTCTCTTTTCCAGCCCTCTCGTGGTGTCTTTTTCATGTTGAGTGGGGAATATAAACACACTCTACAGCAGTGCAGTGGGCTTCTTTGTGTTTTGTGTGTAAGTGGCCTCTGCAGAGGAGGTCTTTGTTGCAGTGTTCATTGATCACCTGAAAGCGAGAGAGAGAAAGGGGGAAAGGCAAAGAACGAAGGAAGGAGAGAAAGAAGGAGAGAAGAGTAGTGCCCCCTAGAGGTGTAGCATTAATTGCAGCAGTAAAATATGGCAGATAAAATTGAATTACATTATGAGCACAAGGTACTGAGGAAAAGTCAGACCAACCCTTCATTTAAATAAAGCTTTAAATAAAAATAACCTTTAAATGAATACATGTTTATTGAAATAAACCTTTAAATAAACCTTTCATTTATATAATTAAGTTGTTAATTTGTCAGTGTCGTGAAAAAACATAAAGCATATCAACGCTGTTGGAATAAAAGCTTGCATCTCCAAAAATGTGACTTTACAAAAAAACGTTCCTATACATGACCAATTTCCAAACTCTCTTTATATTTTAGAATTAAACAGGCTGTTTTATTACTGTGCCTTTAAGATTGATATATGGTAAATTAACTCTGTTCTGATTGGCTGCCGGGTGTCATGCCTCAAACCTGAAACACTCCTTAGAACTTCAGTGCGAAAAGGCGGAGCTAAACTGCTGTAGACTGAATAGGTGTATGTAAATGAGTTGGTTCTTGTAATAACACAGAAACAGTGAATTCAAAGCTGTTTTTGCAGCTTAATTTCTGTATATTGAATGTATGGACTGAGTATTAAAAAAAAAACATGAAACATATCATTGCTGTCAGAAAAAAACCTTGCATTTCCGAAAACAGAACTTTACAGGAGACGGAAAAAACATTCATAACCTTCAGTGAACGTTGATAAGATTTTATTCCAAGTCATGTTAGACATTTTTTGTTGTCTGTATTTTATGCAATTTTGACACTATGCATGTTAGGAGGCACTTCCAAATTATCTAAAAAAAATTATGCTGCATTGTGTTCTGACAGTGATCATATATTCAAATGAAAATTACACAATCATGATTTTGGTCTGGCTTGTCCTGCTTTTATCTTATTTGTTTGCCTTGTGTAATATGCCTGTTGTTAAATTAAAAAAATATTTTGAAAGTATTTAAAAATGTGGAAAATGGCAAAAATGAAAAACCTTTCATGAGTGGCGTCTGAACTTTTGGGTGGTATTGTATACAGAGAGAATGAATCCTGTCTGTATCTACTATCACTGTGAGTGACTTCTTATGATGGTTTGAAAACGGGCAGTGCTGGAAAATCCTTGAAAATTGAAAAGTATCTAAACTGAAAAAGTGGCATTTTATTTCAATACAACTATTTTCTTGTCAGCAACTTTGTTGCTGATTTCTATAAGCATATTGTATGGCTTTTATTTGGACATCAATAGTCTATGAATTCCTGAAAAGTCATAGAACACATTTTATAAAAGAGAGAGTGGCATCAAAGTGTGTGTGTGTGTGTGTGTGTGTGTGTGTGTAAATTGTCAAGTTTAATAAAATCACCTCAGGAATAGAGGCAGTAAGCCAAATGGGAGGATGTGCTTCTCACCTCAATGTTTGTTCAACATGGGTCTCTGGCTAACATCAGTTTGTCCCTTGCTCTAACGCAAATACGTTATTCATATGTTCTGTATGTATTTTATATGTGTATCTATATGTAAATATAGCCCTGTTCACAGTGGAAAGTTATCAGGATACCATGACCAGTAATGTTCAAGGTTTACCTCATTTTGTTGTCGTGGTGAACCACAAGATTCCAAGATTGCTGAAAGCAGTCATAGCGAGAGATGGACACATGTGCATGCCTCCCTACCTATAAAAGCTTTGTGAATTTTATTCTTTTTTTGTGCTATTTTTCTATGCCTTCATCACCCCCTGGTAATATAACATATATAACATATTCCTCAGTGATATCTGAAAATGGTATGAAGGTACGAAAAAGTAGATACCGCTGCAACTGCAGTGTATGCATTCATACTTGCCATTAAAGTACCGATAAACTCAACATAACATCCTCGACATGAAAGGCTAACAGTTCTTGTACACTGCCACAGTGTGTTTATTGCACAAAAATGAAAAAAATGTAAAACCAAAGTGTCACTCAAACATTTTACTTTCTCAGAATGTGTCACTTTTGCACAGTAGAGGCCATGCACTCCACCAGTTCTCTATAAAATCATGTACCAAAAACACTCATAATGTTTTCATGCTGAGGACATCATCTGTTTAACAGGGTTTTCATGGCAGGTATAAATGCGTGCAACCCAGTAAAATACAGTTAAAGTGCTGCATGGGTGAATGGCACTAAGCCAGATAAAACCATGCCTATAGTATATTGGGTTTTGAGTGCGGACGGAGCTAATTAGGTGTCATGTAGGTAAATTGCTCTTTTCAGTTTTACTAGGTATTTAACACATACATAACCACTTTCCATTTAATTACCATTGCATTCCTGTGTAAAAATGCTTGTGTGAAGCTGGCTTTTGTAATAAGGCTGTCACAATTAATTGATTAAGGGCTGTCACGAAAAAATGATTAAACTAGATTGATTAATATTATTAACATTTTAGTTTTTTATTGAGTGACTCAGTTTGTTGACATTTTATATTATGATACATATTGTAATATTGTAAGAGAGGCTGTTTTTGCTGTGGTGTTTCTTTCTTTATTTATATATGTACATGTTAGTGTTTATAGGAACCATTATATGGAATTAGTTCCAACTGCAGTTCCTTGGTAAAAAAAAAAACAAGTGTTAAGACCTTAGGCATTCACAAGGATCGCTATGATATATTTAAACTGAAGGCATTAATTTAGATAGTAATATGCTAAAGGTATAAGATAATCATTTATAGAGTGCTTTCCATTGTTGGGTGACTGTCCCAAACCCAAAATGCAAAATTTCAACACAAATTTCAATTTTAAAAATACGATTTTATGGGTGTACAACTGTTTTCAATTCATTTTTGTACATTTAGTTTTTGAAAATAATCACAGCTGACATATAATGGAAAACACATTTTTTTTTAAAAAGGAAATTCATGAAAGTTTTCTATAATGCATTTTGGAACAAAACCCTTCTTATATTTTGTCGCTGTCCAAAGAAAACCATGTATCTCCATTTTTGTTGATTTTTATTTTTCTGCATCATTTCAACACACCAGCTGTCCTGAAAATTACATGATGAATAGACTGTTAGAAATGCTTTAAAATCACTTGGCATAAAATCTCTTTACATTAACTTACATTAAAAGGTAAGATTGTTTTTGCCCTCTACTGTAAACATACTATTTTGGAAATACTTTGTTTTCATTTGGTCAGCGAATTGTTAGTGTCCAGTTATCATTTCTAGAATATTTAGAACCATTGCAAATATATGTGATAAGTGTGAATATATTACTAATATAAGCAAATATATAGGTCCATACGGACACACTTCTGCAGAGCAACCTGTGTTTGAGAGAGTGGGCTGACCCACTTTGAAGGCCTGTGTTCTCCTCTCCCTGCTCTGGAGGCTGGATGTAATCTGAATGATTAATTCATAATGTGCTGACTGGATCCCCGTCTACATGCATCTTCCACTTCATTACCATAATGTTTGGACTGCCGGCGTCGCATCTCAGCCCACACTGCGCTTCCCGTTTCTATGGGCTTTACCCATCAGAGATAAGGGCTTCTCGTATAAGGTACATAGTTAGTTTTATGTATTACTTTAATGCATTAGTTTATATAGGCTAAAGGTAAGCACAGTGGTCTGCCTGTGTTCTGTCTGAGTGCCTGTTGTTTTTTTTCTTTCTTTCTCTCTGTCCCTCTTGCTCTCTCTGGCCTCTTTTGAGAGTTTTTGAGACAGCTGTGTGTTGACATGGTGGTGGTTTGACCTGGAGTCACTTTCCCTAAGGCTAGCTGCTTTCTCTTGCTGTCAAGACTCGCTGCCCTCTTGTGGAAGCATGCACACACGATTGTCGAATCGTTGTCATAATATTGGCCTTTACACTACTGACATTGCAGAAGGCTGCATTATGCTAATGAGATCTTTAATGAATTTCTAAGCATTTTGATGAATCAAGCAATTCATGTTTTCCAGTAAATGTTAATAACTTTAGTCAAAATAATGCTGGCCAGTCTTCAGTCACGTTATGTCAAGGGTTCACCAGTATGTGTGTAATGTACTACAAGTCATATTGTGGTAGCAGTATAGTTGCAACATGGTATTTTGTCCAAATATTGGTATATTCATATATGTACACATAAAAACAAACCTTTGATCTCTCATTAAAAACTGGTTGACACTGTATTTTAAAGTGGTCATTCTTTGATGAAACAAAACAGTACATCTTGAAGATATTCGCCTCAATGTATTCAGATGCTGCACTACTGCTAACACTGATATGTTGTTGATGTGTTACTGATAATCTGTTAAGAGTTTATTAATCATCTACAAAGGACCACTCCAAATAAAGTGTTATCCGAAACTGTCATGTTTCTGTGACGAACACCACCACGTGGGCTCATTAATAGAAACACCATTCATTGCTCAGGAATCCCACACACTTCTCTGGGTTTAGTAAAGCCTGACGAATCAGACTTTTGATGGTTTATGGAAATAATGGATGTTGTGTTCTCCGGGCCAAAGAAGAAAATGACCTTTCAGATTGTTTCCAGCATAAAATTCAAAAGCCAGGGACTGTCATGGTATGAAGTGCATTATTCATACCTGTGAAAGCATCATTAACGCTGAAAGGTATAAACACATTCTGGCAAAACACATGCTGCCTTCTAGACCTTGTCTTTTTCTGGGACGTTCATGCCTATTTCAGCATAACAACGCCAAGCCACATTCTGCATGTGGTACAATAGCATGGCTGCAGCATCAGATAGGGCATGTGCTAGACTGGCCTGCATGTCAGTCTAGACATGACATCCACTGAAAACATGTGGTGCATTGTGAAGCCCTTTGTAGTTGTACAGCTGAAGAATGGCAAAAAATCAGTTTTCAAAGTGATTAGTATTGTTAAAAGGAATAGTGATGTAACGCAGTGGTAAACATGCTTCTGTCACAATGTTTTTGGAATGTGTTGCAGGCATGCCAAAAAAAAAGTTCATAAGGTAAAACAGCAGATATTGTATATCTGTACTTTTCAGTTTATAACAGATCAAATAGAATTTACTAATCACTACTTTCTGTTTTTGTTAGCATTTGTCATACGGTCCCAACTTTTTTGGATTTGAGGTTTGTAATATGTGGTCAGCGGTGGTTCTATGGTGGTCCTTTTCCATGGATGGACAGCATGTAGGGATGCTGACAGATTGTACATCAACAGATAGGCTACTATGGTCTTTGAGATAACTATGGTTTCTAATAAAAATTACCAGTGAATATGAGAATTTCATGTAGTCTTTACATTGTTTTGTACACTGCTTGTATGTAAGGGCATATGGCTACAATCTCTGTCTCTATCATATGCTGAATATGTGTGTGTGTGTGTGTGTGTGTGTGTGTGTGTGTGTGCGCGCATTCAGGTACTTCAGAGGAGAGTGACGTGGTGATTACAGCTCCACCACAAGACTTGACGGTGGTGCTGGGTCAGCCAGCAGTGCTGGAGTGTATGGCTCAGGGCCAGCCTAAACCCTTTGTGTCATGGAGTAGACAGGGTAAGAACACACATGCATACTGCATTACTGTGTAAAAGTCAGAGACCACCCTTCATTTATTCAATTTTCAGTCAGAACAGCCATTAAGTACAAGATATTCATTTTTAGGAGCTATTAGATTGGATATAAGATAATCCATTTGCATAAGGAAGAGCAGTGTGAATGAAAAACAGGAGTTTCCAAAACTAGAGTTCAAAAATTATTAAACGTTTTAGAGAAAAAAAAACAGTAGCCCTTTACAGATCAATAATAAGTGGGTAGTAATATAGAAAGATTATGGTAACAGGTTTTACTGACTTAAAAATGAAGTGCTAACTTTCTAGTTGTTAATAAATAATGTGTTAAGATAATTTCAGGTAAAGAATGATAATCATGTTATATGTGCTGTGGTTCTGTTTTGTGCTTTGTTAGAGTAACTGTGTTTTGTTAACAGGTAACACAAAAGAATGTATTTCCAGCCCTAATTATTTGTAATCTCAGTATATTTGTAGGTAGAGCTACATGTAAAAGTAATAGAACAACCATAGGTGATTATAATTTAGTAATTACCTGATGTGAACTGCAGTAACTGAGAAATAAGATGGAAAGAATTTTGCTTTTTATGTTTCCAGTATCATTTAGTTGTACTCTAATAACAGCCTGTAACTTTGTACGTCATACTGTGACTGACCATTTAAATACAAAACGGGTAAGAAACAAAGTAGAAACAAGTGAATTAGTATTTTACAGCACTAAAACCTGTCATGTCAGTAGAACTGCATTTTTTTTCGAGGTAATAACACAAATATTATAAAACCCTATAATTATTTAATAGAATGGAGGTGATTTATTGATTAATCAGAGCTAGACACTGAGTAATCTAATCTAAAATGTACAGAATGTTGGAAAAAATAGACTGAATGACTGTTTGGTGTTGATAACTTTCACAGTAATATTAATCAATTATTTTATATCAACTGGTAAATTAACATTACCTTTTTTTAGTTATTATTTGTTGTTACTATTATTCTTTTTTCATTTCATACTACTTACCACAAAAATTACTAACTTGACATTTTCTACAAATTTGGTAACAACTAGAAAATGACCATGTCATTTTTAGGTCAGTACAGCTTATTACTATAGTATTACCATATTATTACCAACTTATAACTGATCTGTAAAGTGCTACCAAAAAACTGCCCCCTTCAGATAAACAGTATTTAAGGCTTTCGTCTTTGAGAGAGAGAGAGGAGAAAATCTCCATTCTTGCTTTAGATCTAAAAAATAAATCCACAGGTGTTTCTATCCATCCTTCCACTGACAAAGACAGCTCAACACTATGAGTCTGAAATGATGTGTAACTGTCAAGAAGCTCTTACTGAGAAAAAGAAAATTTGCAAATCAAACAAAGAAGCTGCTAGCATTCTCAGAACAATGGGCTGGCCACCCCAGTGTCTAGACCTCAGCGTCACTGATAGTGATGGTATTACTTAAATTGTGAGAGGCAGAAAATGCAACCAGCTACTAAGACTGAACTTTGGAGGTGTGAAAAAATATCCCTGCAGGTTTCTTTGAAAAGCTGAAAGCAAGGCACTTGAAAAAGGTTGAAAACTATAATAAAGGTAAAGGGTGGACACACTAGATGCTGAAAACCTTAGTGTTATATTTGGTTGTTGAGGTAATTTTCTGTTAAATATATATGTTAAATATATGTTTTCTGCTGAGGCTGAAACTGAAATTGAGTTCACTGCCTCTGAATTCACACAGTGGATATGTGGCTTCACAGTAAACTCTCTGCCTCCTCCCTCTCTGCTTCCCCAACATACACATAATCACACCCACCCACACACATACATAGACACACACACACTCACACACACACACACACACACACACACACAAACTCACAGACATATATGGATCTTATCTGTCCATTTGCTGCTACGGTAATCACTCGAGCCACAGATGATCAATTCAGCATCTTTTTGTCCTTATCTTTTCCATGAATAACAAATGAGACTGTGTGTATAGATGAGTTTAAGGCTTTTCCTTTGTCTGCTGGCTAACATGGCAGATGCTGCTGGCCAGTCCATCCCTGTAGAATTCACTACAGCACCCCACCATTTCCATATGGTCTCTACAGTCCTCTACTGCCACCTGCTGGTTAAGAGTGTATATCAAGTCTGGTTCGCTTTGTCATGCTTAAAGGGAAATCCAACGATCCGATGATCTTTCAAAATTTCTGCATAATTCAATATTTGAGATGTAAATAAAGTCATTCAGAGTGTTTTGGTGTCACATGATGTGTTGTAGAGAAACCTGTTGACTCTGAGTTCTTTACAGTGGTGATAGGTGCGAGGTGCTGGATTCAGGAAAGTATTCTTAAGAAAAAACTTGCAAAGGTTCTTAAGACTGAACACTAAGAAGTTCATAAGAATGTTCTTAAATGTAATTCTCAAAAAACTAGATATTCTCGTAAAATAATCTCAATTATTTTCTTACAGTTTTCTTAAGAAAGTCTTCATTGTTTCCTTATGAAGGCTAAATTGCATTTTAAACCGTACCATAAATGGTGCAAGATACATTTGAGTTTGTATTACCTGTTATTTCCGTTATTAGGTTAATCCACTCAGAGGGCAGCACAGTGTAGAAAAACATCAAACCAAGTGTTGAAAAACTTTTAGCAAGAACTAGAGGTGTAAATTTAGATGCTTGTCATCTCTTACAGCCTAAGACCAGTGTGAGGCTATCATAAAGTTCAGAAAACATTTAAGAACATAATATTTCAAAGAATACCGCTTGTTCTTAATGATTAAATTACACAAAGTATTAAACTGTGGAATTCCCCTTTAAGAGAAGGCTTACTAACCAGAGGGCTGAATCCACTCTCCTACTGTAGCCTAAATCCCAAGATTAAGATTAATCTTAATGCTGGATTAATTAAAACCTGATCTGGAAGACCATCCTGTTATCTGAAGTTTTATTTACGATTGTATTTGACGTAAAGGAGGCCGGTCACTTCACCTGTGGCTGTTCGGAGTGGCCAAACTATTGCCAGTGCGACAGTCAGTAAAGAGCAGTGAGACCTATTTGGAAACTATAAATGTACTTTTGAAAATTCCTGTATGAGCTTTAACCCTCTTCATGTGCCCTTCGGCACCTCATTTCTGAAAGATCAGGAAAAGCATGTGGCTCTCAACTCTGGAGGTGGACATAACCTGCCAAAGGACTTAGAAAAGCAGGTAACACTTTATTGTAGGGTACAGTTTGTAAGGCTACATAAAACCCACGTATGTTTTTTATGACAACTGACATAGACCCACATAAATGTTTATTAATGCTTATTCCAATAGGTGTCATCATATAACCTTTATAGCGAATGATGCCTGTTGGAATAAGCATTTAAAAACTTTTACGTAGGGGTATGTCAGTTATCATGAAAAGCATATGTAGGTGTCATATAGCCTTATGAACCATACCCTACAGTAAAGTGTTACCGAAAAACATTACATTACCAGATTAAAAAGTGAATGGCCCTGCTTGAGCTTCATTTTTATAAATATAGTTAATTGGTTGCAGGGGAAGGTGCACATATGTACTACTAAAATTGATTGTCATTATTATATTTAGAAGCTAAAATTTAAGCAAAAAATTAATTTTTCTCTATAATCAGTTTTTCATAGTAATTGTAAAATCGTCTCCTCTGTTCATATTGCTCTTGTGTTATTGTTTTGCTGTCCAGCGTCTACCAGAGGAGGATGGGTTCCCCTTTTAAGTGTTGGTTCCTCTGGTGCATCTGGATTTTCTGTAAAGCTGCTTTGTGACAACGCCTGTTGTAAAAAGCGCTAAATAAATACATTTCGACTTGACTGTTTAGAGGATTCGTAATAATCATCATAATTGTGACCGTATTGACCTAAAGGAATTTCTAGTAGTGTAAAAAGGCCAGAGAAATCAAGAGCAAGAACTGAAGCCTAAATTCTACCTTAGTCATTTTTAAGTACCCCACTTGTGGTCTCACTGCCTTATTACTGAATTGGTAAAAGACAAGCCTCATCATCTCCAGTACAAGCTACACACATGACAGAGAGCTTATGTGACAAATTTAGATACTTACTGGAAGCTTTCCTTCAGTTGACTTGACACAGGATTATCACTAATGTGTGTTTCTTTTTCTACCTTTTCTCTGTTTTTCTTTACATTTTATAAACTCACTCCTCCGGGATGCAGATGGGAAGCCCATTGCGACAGATGTGGTTGTCTTAGCAACCAACCTCGTGATCCCGGACACACACACTCACCATGCTGGAGTGTATGTGTGTCGTGCCAACAAGCCCAAGACCCGCGAGTTCGTCTCTGCTTCTGCTGAGATCCGTGTGCTGGGTGAGAGGCTGAATAAGTGAATGATTCATTCTGTTCATACAGCAGATGCTGACTGTAATATAATGACTGTGTGTTTAACTCTGTTTCCTGTTTTTCTTTCTTCTTTGTTTTGGCCTCTATTTTTATTTTTGTTTTTCTTTTTTTCTTTCATTGATCCATCCATCAATTCATGTTTTCTTCCTGTTCTTATTTTCATTCTTGTTTTTCTTTATTTCCTTCTGTTCCACCATTTTTTTCTTTTTTCTTTTTTATACATTTATCCTTTTTTCCTTTCTTTGCTTACTTCATTGTTTTACTTCTTTCTGTTTTTCTTTCTTTCTTTCTTCACTTGTTTCTATTTTTCTTTTTTCTTTTTCTTTCTTCACTTGTCTCTGTTTTTCTTTCTTCTTTTCCTTTTTCTTTCTTTTTCTTTTGTCACTTGTTGCTGTTTTTCTTTCTTTCTTTCTTTCTTTCTTCACATTTTGTTTTTCTTTCGTTCTTTCTTCACTTGTTTCTGTCTTTCTTTTTCTTTCTTTACTTGTTTGTTTTTCTTTCTTCTTTTCCTTTTTCTTTCTTTTTCTTTCGTCACTTGTTTCTGTTTTTATTTATTTATTTATTTATTTATTCACTTGTTTCTGTCTTTCTTTTTCTTTATTCACTTGTTTCGTTTTTCTTTGTTGGTTTCTTTCATCATTTGTGTCTGTTTTTTCTTTGTTCTTTCTTTTCTTTTCTTCACTTGTTTCTGTTTTTCTTTCTTTCTTTCTTTCTTTCTTTCTTTATTTCTCCTTCTCAGCTCCTCCTGTAATCCTGCAGCCTCCTGAGTCGAGGGCTCTCTCACGCGCAAATACGGCTCGGTTTGTGTGTAATAGCTCAGGTGACCCTGCGCCAGTCCTGCGCTGGCTGAAGAACGGAGAACCTGTGCAGTGGTCAGCTCGGGTTAAGACTCAGAGCCCTGCCGTTCTGCTCATTAACCAGCTAGGTCTGGAAGACGCCGGATACTACCAGTGCATCGCTTCCAACAGCCTGGGCACGGCCTGCGCCACCGCCAAGCTGTCAGTCATCGTAAAACAGGGTCTCCCCAGCCCACCGCGCCGCCTGCAGGCCACGCCCCACTCCAGCACCTCCGCGTTGCTCACCTGGGAGCCCCCTGAACACAACAGTGATCAGGTCATCGGCTTCTCCATCCACTACCAGCACGCCACAGGTGTGTAAAGGACTGGGAGAGTGTAAACATTTTTTGTAACTTTGAAAACATTTACAATCATTTATTTATAAAAACATAGTATTTTATAAATAAACAAACAGTCAGATTAAAATGAATCATAGTGCAATTGGGTTTTATGATGCATTGAATCCTAAAGAATCCTAATCAAATGGAATCATTATGCTTTACACCTCTGTTGTTTGTTTATAACAGAAAATGTTGACCACAAAAGCCTTAAAATGGCTCACATGACTGTTCTGTTGGCCTGTTAATAAAGAAGAGAGTGCTCTTCTTATGGTGAATAGTCACCCTCAGGGCATCAGCTCTCAGGGATGCTGAAAGCTTCTTTATTGCTAGTTTACAGAAACTAATATACGTTTTCACGCATCACAAGTCTCATAGTGAAAGGCAGCAGATGCCATGACAGTATTTTTTCCCCCAATTCATTGAACAGTTCATTAAGTTCAGTAAATTGGTTTATTACATTTGTTTGTTCTATGACTGTATTTGCTTGCAGGCTCTGACAACATGGAGTATCAGTTTGCGGTCAACAACGACACAACAGAGTTCCATGTGAAGGAGCTGCAGCCTCACACTGCTTACACCTTTTACATGGTGGCCTATTCACCCATGGGCGCCAGCCACCCGTCACAGTCTGTCACTGTGGAGATGTTGGAGGATGGTGAGTGCTGATTGCTGGGGCAGCCAGATGGGGCAGAACCAAGTATTTTTCCGTATATATGAGATTATCATTTGCATGATTAGACTGATTAAGTGAAGTATAGTTGAGCCTACTTCATCAAAGTAATGATGAAAATGACCATTTTAAAAACTCCCCTAGAGGTGAGTTGAAGAACTTAGAAAGCCAGATGTTGTGGAGCAGACTTTTGGCCGCCTTTTCAAATCAGAACAATCTGATGATTGATGACTTAGATATCTCAGATCTTGTGCTTTTATAATGAAATATACACCTTTAGTGTTAGAAGTGTATTCAAAAGTAGGGTAAGTTACTTCTAGACCCATATGTGCCCATATACAATAATAAAGTATACTGCAATACTCAACAAACGTATAAAGCAGTCACTGTGTTTTAGTTAAACAAGTTGCAAAATATCAACAAGTTGTTTGTTTGGCGGCTGGTCAGGAGTATTTCAATGATTTGAGGTTGCAGTAATTTGTTGTTTCCATTTAGCACAAAATGTTAGTTTAAAAAAAAAATCCCAGCACTAGATAAGCAGTACATTTGCATATGAGTGGGCAATAAGATGATATTTTGTCATTATTGTGATTAATTATGTCATTCACCCATGAAACGTTAAATATAAATTGTCATAAAATCGTTATTCATAGTTTTGACTCTATTTTTTAAATGTGGCTCTGCTGGGGCTTTTTGTTTTTTTCTAACTCAACAAATTTATCTATTCCACTTCTCAAAAATGAAATATTGTGAAATGTATCGTGTATCCTAAATACATTTTAGAGTATTGTGATAATGTATTTTTGGCATGTTGCCCAGTTTTAGTGTGTAGTATAAGAATATTTTCTATAGTATAGTGTTGTAAACAACCTTATACCACTTAGTGCAATACCTGCTCTCATGTAAATAAAACAAATATGCTATGTAAATATGCAAATAGATATGCTTCTATTTCTGCTCTCTCATACTTTAACTTACATCTAAGTTTTTATTATTTTTATTATTATTCTTTATTTATTTTTATGTCCTGTTTATTTCTGTTTTTATTTCTGCCTAATATATATAAGTTGATGTGCAATTATATGTCTTGCTACTGTAGCACTGCAATTTCTCTTCAGGATCAATGATCTATCTATCTGTCCATCCATCCATCCATCCATCCATCCATGTATTTATCTGTCTATCTATCTTCCTACCTACCTGAGTTGAGACACGTGGCTTTTCAGGAGACCATGGTTTCCTGACAGCTGAGTGATGTCTGGTTGATCTTATAGTACAGCATGATGTTCAAACCTTTCACTAACTCTAAATGGTGATGTCTTTTGCTGTGTTGTGTGTAGTGCCCAGTGCTCCACCACAGCTGTCTCTGCTCAGCACATCCCCCACTGAGACCAGAGTGATGTGGCTCCCCCTTTCCTCTCAGCTTAGCCGCGGAGCCATCACACATTACCGTATCGACTACCGCACACTGGAGCACGGTGAGATACTATCAGTGATCAAATGTGAAAGTGTAGGGCAGTAGGCAGGTCATCTAAAACATGGTGTCAAGGCATATTTAGTAGATAGATATCAGCTTTATTAAGCCCAGTCAAAGAGAAATTCCAGTAGTGTTTCCTTCTTTTTTTTGACATTTCTGCATAATTTAATCATCAAGCTTGGGAATCATGTATTCCCAGCCATTTCATGCAAAAACATTGTGAGGTAGCTTTTAGAGACGTGGTTGCCATCACCACCACTCTAAGTAATACTGATACTGTAGGTTTCTTTAGAATGGAGCATTTCACATCAAAGCAACTCTGAATAACTTTGTTCACATCTTAACCATTTAAATATTTAGAAATTTTGAAAAAATCAATTTAAATTTAAAGCTGTTCACCCTGCAGGCATTTTAAATGATAGCCAGAAGCGTCAGATATGTCTATAAGGCTACATTTACACAGCAGGTAGAAGTGGCTCAAATCAGATTTTCTCACCAAATCCGATTTTTTGTTTGGCTGTTCTCATTTTCTTTTAAATGTGATCTGTATGCGACATCAGTCTGAACTGATCAGCTCCTAAACTGACCCGCATGCGCAAAAGAACAGTGATTCACATTGCAGCTCGTCCAGAGGTAAACAGTCATGATGGCCAGAGAACGCCAGTCGCTCCCGGAGCTTTCAGTTTCATCTTCACCAGCATCACGGGAGCGATTCTAAAGTGCTAGTGGTTGACAGCTGGACTCATCACCCACAGTGTGTTCGAGTTCGCCGAAAAAAGGGCTCGTTATTCGGCAACGGCCACTTCTTTGGTTCGTGTCCTTGGATTCTTTAAACTGTTCTCTGACGCTGCAGCCTCGGTCTCCTCCGGCCGCGTTCGGCCATTTCGTTTGAACATGGAGCGGCTGCGATGAGTCTCTTATAATTTTTTAGTACAGAAACATCAGACTAAATATTTATTATTGAGTCTTAGCAGCGCAAAATTATGACAAATGTCGAGTTGTACTGACGTAAAAGTGGCATGAATTCCGATCTGGCTGTTCAGAGTCGCATTTCCGCAGATCGGATACGTATCGGATTTCAGTACCACATATGAAAGCGTCTCAAATCGGAATTGAAAATGTCAGATTCAGTGTGGTTTTTGCTGTTCACACTGCCACACAAATGACACATCTCCGTCACATTTGAGCAAAAAGATCGAATAGGGCCACTTTTACCTGCTGTGTAAACATAGTCTAAGACAGATCATATGTAAATGTTAAAGACACTATAAAATGGTCATTAAAAATAAAGTAATCAAAAATTTCAAACATTTCAGGTCAGATTATGTTGCCCTACGGGCAGAATAACATTAAGTGATTTGTGATCACTAAAAGTCTGAAGATATTCTTCAGTTCAAACCATGTGACTAAAAATTGAGTTTTAGTCATTTAATTTATTATAATAAATTCAGTCTTTTGTTCACATGGCACTACAGATTGTTAAAAATAAACAATACAACAATACATGATTGTGAATAAAAGCATAAAAATTACATAATTAAAATATTAAATGTGTTGGATGTTCATTCAAATATATACAATATATTTCCTTTAGATGATTCAGAACAAATTCTGTGGCATTTTTCCTTAATATACTAAATTTAGTAATGTATTAATTAATAATTGATTATACTAGATGAATTAATAGATAATTAAAAAATAATTAAATAAATACTTTATATAAATAAAAAAAAATAGTTCTTGGTCCTTCAGTGGTTTGAATGACTTGAAGGATCGCGATGAGGGAAAACTATCTGTGTTCAATGGAAAAAAAAACTGGGACATCTCTTTACGGTACTGTGCATGTGAGATCTTGGATAGGATTAGGTTGATGGGACTGTAGTGGTAGTAGTTGTTCTATTCAGTCTTCAAGACCCAATGAGGTGTATAACAATAATGTCACTGTATAATTTTAGAAGAGGGAAAACAAAGATACGTTGGATGGAACGTTCAAGACCGGGATTGAGAACCACTGAGCTTTATGTAATGCAGGCAGCGGACCAGAGTGTTTGCATGAATGGCAGTCATATTGGGCATTAGTGAACATTAGTGAGCTCTTATGATTTTGATTGTCTATTTGGATCAATAGAACGTGTGGGTCTGCTCACATGTGTCTCTATCAGCGCCAAGCAGCAGGGAGACAGGCAGATGCTGGGGTGTGCTTCATGCCATGGCTGGTTGCTTGTTCCTCTATTAGAGCTCCTGCATGCCTGACGAACAGGAATGAAGGCCAAACAAAAGACCGTCTCAGTTTGGCAGGCTTTGGCGCAGAAAGAGCCACATTGCTGATAAGACTAAGCACTTTGGGGAAGTGAAGGACTCTGTGTCATTGTGCATGTGGCTATATCAGCAAGCTGCACATTGAAATAATTAGCATTTGCATGTGCCTGTGTGTTCTCTGTGGTGTGGGTTCGTGTGTGCTGCAGCAGACGAAGTGTATTCGGTGGAGGTAGGAGGGAATGAGACACAGGCGACCCTGAGAGATATGAAGCCCAACCACACTTACCAGCTACGGATGGCTGCAGGAACACGAGCGGGATTCGGACAACCGTCAGAGTGGGCCATTCACCATACCCCCAACCTTACTCAGGGTGAGGATAAATCCACATACATACATGCACTGAAATTTAGAAATGGTTAGAAAGTGCTGTTTCACTTTGTTTTTTATTATTTGCAGAATTAAGGGAAACCTCTGGCGGTTCAGTAGGTGAACTACAGCAACACTGGACGAAGTTCATTTAGAATTGCTGGCATTACATACCGTTGTCATGATTCTCTGTCAATAAGTTCAGCTGTTTATTAAGGATATTGGCTTCTTTTCGTTCTTTAGATATAAAATATGTATAATATAGATATAGCTATAATAATATATCTTTAATATATATATATCAGGGGTTCTTAACCTGGGGGTCAGGACTCCCAGACACCAAGAATACAAGCTCTGCTAAATGGCTTTGACTACAGCCTATTAAAGACAGGCTAATGTCAATTTCTGTTCAGTGAGCTCATTACTGAGGTAGGGTCTTGATTGACTACTGAACTTGAAGCATTTATTTAGTGCCTTTAGGTAGCTTTGTTACCTGCATGGGAGTTTGATGCAGTTGGCTGGTGTTATATATATCTATGTGGAGGTGGTTCATCCAGATTGTTAATTTACCAGGCTCTCTGATTGGTAGATTTATCAGCTTGATTTTTTATGGATAGTTGGCCATTCAAACAGATCAACTCTTTATACGTGTCACATTTACATACTTGTCCAGAAGGAACGTCTTTACCTCTGTGTCCAGCTTTATCCCCTTCAAATGTAATAATTCCACCCTTGAAAAGCACTTCCAGTGTTAATTCTTGTTTTAGTACAGTTCTTGTTGTTACACTTTTTGGCAGCACAACATGTTTTTTCCCCACAGTACTAGAATCTGCCAGCGCAAATTATAAACCGCAATCCGGTATGTTTTCTTAGCTGAACAGATGGAGATGGGGGTGGAGAGGGTCTTATAAAATGACTGACAGGAAGTCAAACACAAGCACTTCGCTCCACCTTGCGGTTGTCCAAATGGGGTATCTCAAGCACATAATACACTTGTGCTGAAGCCACTGCTAAAGCAATCATTTTCCAGTTTCTTCTGTTTTTGCATATTTGTCACACTTCAATGTTTCAGATAATCAGATTACTACAATTTTTTAAATGTTGATTTCATTTATTGAAGGAAAAATGCTATTCAGTCTTACCTGGCCCTATGTGAAAATGTAATTGCCCCTTTAGCAAATTCAGTTGACTATTGGGTTTGGTTTCACTATCCACACCCAGGCATGATTACTGCCAGACCTGTTGAATCTAAACATCACTTAAATAGAACCTGTTTGGCAATGTGAAGCAGGCTAGAAGGTCTCAAAAAGCAGCACATGATGCCACGTTCTGAAGAGATTCAAATACAGATGCAAATCAAAGTCATTGAAATCTGCCAGTCTGGAAAGGGTTACAAAGCCATTGCTAAAGCTCTGGGACTCCAGCGAACCACAGTAAGAGCCATTATCCACAAATGGAGAAAACTTAGAACCTACCCAGGAGTGGCCGGTCTACCAAAATTTCACCAAGAGCACATCAAAGACTCATCTAGGAGGTCACAAAAGAACCAAGATGAACATCTAAAGAACTGTAGGCCTCATTTGCCTCAGTCAAGGTCAATGTAGACGATTCCACAATAAGCAAGACACTGCTGACCAAAAAGAACACAAAGGCTTATCTAGCATTAAGCCTTTAAAACATCTGGATGACCCTCAAGACTTCTTCCTCAAGAATTCTGTGGACCAATGAGTCAAAGGCAGAACTTTTTGGAAGACATGGGTCCCATTACATCTGGAGTAAAGCTAACACCGCATTTCGCCATAAAACCATCATACCTATAGTCAGACATGGTGGTGGTAGTGTAATGGTTTGAGGCTGTTTTTTTGTTATTGATGAACCATGAAGTCTGCTCTTGATCAGAAAATCCTGAAGGAGAATGTCCGCCTGTCAGTTTGTGACCTAAAGCCCAACTGTAGTTGGGTTGTGCAGCAGGACAATGATCTGAAGCACACAAGCAAGTCCACCTTTGAATGACTCAAAAGAAACAAAATTAAGGTTTTGGAGTGGCCGAATCAAAGTCCTGACTTGAATCCCCTTGAGAAGCTGTGGCAAGACCTTAAATGAGCAGTTTATGCTCATTTCTTATAGACATTTTGAATATATAAAGTAATATTTGAGTATTTGAAAATGAAAAGATTAGACAGTTGCAGCCCTAATACAGTAGATTAGAACAGAGTAATCAAAAACTCTTCCCACCTAGCTGAAGCATGTCTCACTGAATGTTCATTATTTTGTGCTGTCCTCTTGCTGCTAGCTACCTTTGAAACAAAGCAGTGTTGGTTATGGTTGCCTGTAGGGCTGCATATTATGGGTCAAATTCCACATTGTATTTATATTGCTGTATTGCTGCTATATGTTGCGATTATAACTTCCAGTATATTAAAAATGCATTACTGAAGTGACACGGTTAAAGATTAGCCTACATTATGTTTGACCAAAATGACCTATTGAATTAATCCAGACACCCACATAAACTCATCTGGAGCATCTGAGGTTTGCACATACACCATTAAATGATTGGTTAGGGGGCTAGTTTGCATATTTCAGCCTACTGTTGTAAAGGCCAGTATTGCCATAACCATTAACAAACAATATTTTGCATCCCTAATTGCCTCATTCCAAAGCCAAATTTCATATTCAGTCTTATCCAGCCTGTTACTAGGGGTGGGCAATATGGCAAAAATATATCATGATGATACTTATTTTCGTTTCATTTTTCTGAGGTTGGATAAGTTGCAACAGACAAAAAAGCACCTCTAGTGGCGCATTTACATTTACATGAAATGCTATGAGTACAGATTTTATTTGATATTTCATATACTTTGCTGCACTAAATTCAGGCAGTTGGTCGGTGTTTAAGTACTGACAATATCCACTGTACACTTAAACAAGCATGTTGTGACATAAATTGTCATGATAATGTCAAACTGCCCGCCTCGCTACCTGCTAGTAATGTCAGATGTTTTCTTCTGCCATGGTGCAGTTCTGACAGAAGATTACAGTTACAGCTGAGAGATTACTTTTATGCAATATCGTGAAAAGCCTCGTCCTATTTAGCCTATTACTATTTAGCAGGAAGGAAGGAAACGAAAATACAGTCCTTGTTGTGTTTTCATTCAGCATGGACCAATATAAAACATATTCTGAATATCCTGTTTGAATTCTTTTTGTATGCGCTCCTTCTATCTGTGCGTTCTAGTGCTCTTCGCTCCCACCGAACTCAAAGTGCGAGCAAAGATGCATTCCCTCCACGTCACATGGCAGCCGCCACCCAATCACACGCAGATCACCAGCTACAAACTGGCCTATAAGGAGGTGGATGGAGAGGAGACGACCAATGAGGAGACTCCTGTGGATGATGCTCATCAAATCAGACTCCGCAAAAGAGTGAGGCATTATGAAATCACAGGCCTAGGTGAGAAATTTTAGTCCTCAGCACATTATAGCATTTGACAAAGGCTTGCCTTTGTAGTACTGTGTGTGTGTGTGGTTTCAATGGGCTGTGTGTTTGTGTATGCGTTTCAGCTCCAGATCGACTGTATGAAGTGAAGGTTTGGGCATGTAATAAACAGACTGAAGGCTATCCCGCTGTATGGAAGGGTCGGACAGAGAAATTCACTGATCGAGGTTTGTAGATGTGAATTGTTGAGTGAAAAGAATGACTCGTTATTCAGTACCATGAATAACTATACAGTACTGCTATGGATTGTGTAGTGCATATGAAACCAATAATGAAAACACCTAAATGACTATATCTAACTACACATATACACTCACTTTGCACTTTAGTAGACGCACTATGCTAATACTGGGTAGGGCCTCCATTTGCTCTCAGAAAAGCCTCAATTATTTGTAGCATGGATTCCATAAAATGTTGGAAATATTCCTTGAGATTCAGGTGCACATTCATGCTGTGAATATCCCACTCTACTACATCACAAAAGTGATCCGTTGGATTCAGATCCAGTTTCTCTGTACTTTTTACAGCCCGGTAATTACTTAATTACTTAATTACTAGGTAGATGAATAGAGTAAATGAAACTATGATTAAATGTTTAGACGTTTTCTACTGTGAGCAGTTGAACGTATTGCGTATGGAACACAGGAATTCATGTATTGAATAGCCACTCCCATCTATGTAATTTATACCCATGTGAATTGGTCATAAACACTGAGGAACATCTGGGGGGGGGTAAAATTACATCAATCTGCCTCCCTGTTTGAAGTTAATCCCATCTGGTTAATACTCGAGTTGTATGTATTTTTGACTTTCATTTTTTTTGGTGTGTCAGTGATTATTACGAAAAAAAGTAGCAAAACATTCTTTGTGTTTTCGTTTTTGATTAGGGATATGGATTTAACGAGGGTCAGGGCAGGCTATTGGTCAAGGTCAGGTTCAGGGGTAGTTTTATGTTTCATGCTGGATTACAACAATATATTTATTGTAAGATTGTTTACAAAAAAAAAAAGATGTTAATTTTTTTGTTATCATAATACAAGTATGTATGTTTGTTGCAGTGCGACTACCGGACTACCTCCCCCCGCTGCCCCCCAGCAGCGTGAAAGCTCGGGCCAACAGCTCAACCTCCATCTGGCTGCGGTGGGAGAAACCGCCATTCAGTAATGTACGCATCATCACCTACACCATCCGCTGCAGCCCTGCTGGCACACGCAATGCCTCCCTCGTCTCTTACTACACCAGGTGAGAGATGACACACTTGCATGCTCTCGTATTACTGTCTTCATGGAGTTTTTCACATATCATGTAATAATGTAGCTAAAAACTACTATAACTAAACATAACCTTATTCTCAGTACCAAAGGGCAGCAAAATGTTTTTAAAAAAGTGAAAAAATAAGAAAATAAATTTTCCCCATGCAGACCAGTAAAAATTCCCCAAAACATCTTTTATTTTCCTATCGTTGTGTTGACCACACACCATACATGCCAACATAACACTCCTAAACCACTTACATGAAAACCTGTGCATAAATAATAAACTCATTCAATTCTAATTCACGTGCGTACAATTAAGGATGATTACATTTTAGTTTTCGTTCCTGGTAAAATACAGTTAGATTCCTTTTCATGAGTCCTGATGGGATGTAGGGTTGTCAAATTAAAATTTGAAATTTCAATATATGTCTTTAATTTAATAAAAAATGCACGTTCCAGTAATCCAGTAGTAAATGCACATTCAGATGTAAAATATGTACATTACAATGTTTACAGCTGTCCTCATTGAGTCTCATTCATGAATCGTTCTTAAGAAGAAATTTCTTTTTAAAACCCACTTTTTTCACAAAGTTTTCACAAATATTTTGACATTCACCAGTGTTTTCTTACTTGGGATTTGTTTTTAGGTAAGAACAGAATCTACACACACTCAAGAGCACAAAGGTGCCAACAATTCTGCGGTTTAAGAACCTGTCATGAATCTGTTGTGGACTTTTTCCTAGAACCTTTCTCAAGAACAAATTTAAGAAAAAAGATATTGGTGAATGAGGCCCATTGTTTAAGTTCTGCTGCACAGCCACTGCAGCCACTCGTGCCACTCACAGCCACTCTGTTTTAGCTCACAACAGCAACGTGAAGTCACAGGAATGGAACAGACATGGAACAGTCATTATGAGAGATATATCAGAATAGGCCTTTGTATTTTGTATTTTTGACAACCGTCTTGAGACTCCAAGGTTGAGAACCACTGGTTTATAACTAGTGTGGTACCGATACTGTCATTATTAAACAAATTGGACATCTGTGTCCGATACACATCCGATAATGTCTTTGATGCTGCGTTCACATTTTTGCTTTAGACAGAGGACAGTAAACTGGATATTCCATTGTTTTCATTAGAGCTGCAACAGAACATTCTGCCACTGACAGTGGTCCACAGACTGCAGTGGTGAGCAGAACGATCCACCAAGAGTTCAGTTTTCCCAGCTTTTGCCATTGTCTGCAGTGGTGGAGTAAACCAGATGTTGTTTGTTTGTTTTTTTTTGTTTTTTTGGAGCCATTGACGCCAAACTTCTCGTTTTGAATTCCAGACAAACTCAGTATTCTACAACAAAAATAAGAGTACAGAGCGTACAGAAAGCTCATTCATGTAATATTTGTGAATGATCACATTACAGGCAAACTACTTTACTACTTTGTTTAAGGAAATTAAATTAGCAAGTGTGAAATCTGCCATGTTGTTTATCTGTGCGGTGGTGTGTCAGTATAAAAACCCAGTGCAGGAACTTTTCCCTGTACTTCGTAAGCTTTGAGAGATAAAAACTATTTCATACATTTTCATTATTATCAATTTCATGTGGGATAAAAAGTTACCGTTAAATTATATTGTAATGTGGTTAAATATGAAATTAATAATAATGATGCCTCATTTTAAAAATCCTCAAATTAAACTTCAGCTAACAAGTCAAGCACCATGTCTTATGCTGGCGAATAACAAACATGTCTGCAGTTTGGAGGTATTATATGCTAGTAGCACAGCAACTTGTAACATGGAGGTAAACTCACATTTTGTTTGAATGTTTAGATTTTACAACTTTATTGTTGCACTGAAAAGTTTACACTGGAATTATAATTACTGTTTATTTTTCTGCTGCATTATCCAGAAGCATATTATTTACACAGTTTCTTGTAATACTTAATTCTTGCTTTTCATTCTTATTTATTTTCATTTTATTGTTCTTTTGCTGTTGTTAGACAAAGTGAGGTACACAGAATTTACATAATTTTTTTTTAAAAGATATTGGATCTGTACTTGATATCAGACGATACCTAGAGTTCAGGTATCGGAATCTGTATCGGAAGAGAAAAACGGATTGGTGCATCTCTGTTTACACTGTGTACTCATAACACTGTGAGCCGAGGATGCTTGATATTTACTCGATATGCCGTTTACTGCAGTTTTGTATTCTACTTATTTTCTTTGAGTCTAAAGAAATAATCGGAATATGTTTAAATGTTTGACAAATAAGGAGAAAATTCAAATTTAATTCTGATCACATTTGACAGCCCCAGTGGGAACACACAAAAATAACTATACACGCTAATTCACAAACTCATATCTGTTGTCTAGGGTAGGTATATTTAATCACTGTTACATGTCTTTGTTTTTGCAGCACTTCTCAGGAGATCCTATTGGGGGCACTAAAGCCCTTCACCCGCTATGAACTGGCTGTGCAGTCCAACGGCATCAATATGGGAGGCCCCTTCAGTGGCACAGTGGAAGAGTCCACACTAGCTGACCGTGAGTACTCAACCCACGCAAAGGCATTTTTCACATCTCAGTGGAACACTCCTTGCTTTCTGATTAGTCAGTGGTTGAAAAGACTGAAATTGGTCTTTTACAGTGAGATTACAGTGTGTTTTACAGTGAGATTACCTACATAATGTCAGATTTTAGAATGCATGTATGTTGTTTTAGGGGGTGTGTATGTGTGTAAATGAGTTTCTGTTGCTTGCATCTGAGAGTGAGTGTGTCAGGTTAGCAGTAAGGGGATTAGTGGAAAGGGTCTTGGGGAGATAATTGGCTTTAAGTAAAAGTCCAGATGGATCTGGCCCTCTCACTGGCCAAGAGACTTTCAGCCTGTCAGTCACAAGCCAAGTGGAGTGGGGCTGTCATCGCTACCATTTATCGTCAAGGCAACAGAGAAGGCTGATGAAAGGGAGGTGGGATGGGGGTTGCCAAAGGGTAACTTGTGTTCTTATTGTTGCTGAATATCAAACGTGTGTGTGTATGTGTTTTGGAGGACCCTCATCTCCCCCCACAGACCTGCAGCTGAGCGCTATAGACTCATTCTCAGTGTTGGTGAGTTGGCGCCCCCCCTTGGAGCCCAATGGAATCATCGTGAGCTACAGAATGCTCTACAGTGGCAACCTCAGTCAGCCTGATCACCTGTGGACCAACCTTAGCCATGATGGTGAGTACCATGCGTACTTTTGCCTGTTACATCTTTTGAGTCTTTGATTTCACTGTCCTGCAATATTAAGTCATAGAAAGTCATGATTGATATTGTATCTGATACTAAGTCTTAATTCTGAGAGAATTTCATATAAAAAAACTTATAATAAGAGCTACTAGTCATAAGTATGATGTATCTCAAGAACGATTCTCTCATTATGAGATACTAAGTCATAATTGAAAAGCGTGATTATAATGACATTAATTAATAATAATAAGGAAAAGAAGAAAAAGTTTGTTTTGGTGAGGGGAAAATACAGTTTGTTTTCTCAAGCGAACAGTCTTCCATACTGTTTTTTTTCTAACACCACAGAAATATTCAGATAAATATTAGTTAATATTAGAGATAATATTAGTTAATTAATTAATTATAATTAATAGTAGAGAAATATTAGTTAATATTAGCACAATACCCCTATTTCTTTCCTGATATCAAGATTGATAGATATTGATTGAATCTTTTAAAGTGAGCTGTTTTAAGTGAAGCTCTTCACTTAAGATGAACAAAAAAAATCTGCTATTCTCAAACTACTAATACACTCTGCTAGTGTCCCAGCACTGATACTCACTGATACTGATATGCCATCTCTAGGTAATATTTCCATTTTCTCCTCTCTTCTCTCTCCTACTCTACAGGATCTGTCACCAGCACTGAGGTTCTGGGTTTGATGAGCGGAACACGGTACTATTTTAAGATGGGGGCGTGCACTGAGGTGGGTGTGGGGCCTTTTTCTCCGGTAAAGGATGTGCACACACCCCCCAAAAAATACGGTGAGTGCATGGAATGCCTCCTGACATGTGCTTCTCAAAACAGAGTAGGAATGGATTTGTGGATTTGAGCTACTTTGGCTGGTTAGGTTACTCTGAATACTCCCTTTCTTTTTATTCAAGGCACAACATGCATATACACACACACCGACTTCATTCACCCAGGCTCTCACACACTGGTCTTTGAGTGGTCGTTATGCTGGTTTGTTGGGGCTGCCAGCACTCTTCCTGCGGGGCTAATAAGCATAGCAGCAAACTCTGTTCGGCTCCAGCAGCTTGGTAAATTGCAGCCTTCTCTACACTGCCTGCTGCTGCGGCAAGCAGCTATTGCAGTGCTGTAACATCCAGGCCTCTAGCTTTAGAGCAGTGAGGCACAGCTTATGTGCTCATTTAGTTGCAGGTTGAGAGAGAGAGAAAATTGAGAGAAAACTGTATGTGGGTATTTTTGTGAGAGTAGGTAGTACGTAACTGAAGGTGTATGGCTAGGTTTGAGAAGACACGTATCTCTTTTCTCGACTGCCACAGAACTGGCCATTACCAATGCTCAACAACTATGATTCACTCTGGCTGCGGAAAGTGGTGCAGTAAGGCACAGTCGCACACATCACGTCCTGTAATCAGACCGACATTTACATTGATATCGGAGACGGTGTAATTTAGGCAGAAAGTACTGAGTGGGCGGGCGATTATACCATCAGCCGTGCCCTTCACTGAAACTGAACAGTCGTGAAATCTACATAGGTATCTTTTTATGCCAGTTATAAACGCTTAGTATGTCTTTCAAGAAAGAACATGAAGTGTGAAGAAATAACAATGAAATAAACTGTAAGGGTGAGCACAACTTAAACAATTACAAAAAAAAGATACAAGAACGAAAAATCCATTGTACTAATTACACAAAGAAGCCTGTAAGCACGGTCCAGTAAATACAAAGATGCACTAAGAAACGTGCATGAAGAGAAATAACTATGTTTAAAATTATTGAGAAATATTTGTTTATTTGCAAGTTATTTATCCCATGATAATGATCCCCTCTATTTCTGTTGGAATTGGTTATGTGTGGTACTACTTATAGGTGGATATGTCAACCTCTTGTACCATGATAATGAACACCAGAGTACAGGAAGGAAAGAGGTCATTTATATGTAATAGCAACAGTAGGGGTCCAAGAACAGAACCTTGAGGGACACCACTATAAAGAAAATCTGTATCAGAAACACAATCATTGACATATACAAACTGTTCTTTATTGAATAAATTATTCGAAAATTGCATGTAAGTAACATCATGAAAATCACAGAACTATAGTTTATCAAGTACCATGGTGTGACTAGCAGTATCAAACCATATTCCAGTCAAGAAGGGCACAGTAAGAACCAGGGATGAGGGAAGACCAGAAAATTACAAGCATAGAAACATGTCCAAAACTCAATAATATATTCCAGGGCTGAAAAACAGTCTTCTCTATTGACCACGAACAACCTTCTGTGTATGGGGAGGGCGATTACATAGATGATGAGGGAACAAGAAACAGTTGTGCCAAATCAGCAGATCACCTGGCCACTTTTTCTGAATGCCCCCTCCTGGATATGTTCCTAGTTAGAACACACTGCCAGGCATGTCCATTATTGTTAGGTGGTATTTGAATTTTATCTAGGTACAAATTTTTTATCTCAACAACCACATATACTGTAATTCTTACAAAATCCAAATAATGGTTGACATATGTTATTATCATTGAATAATCAGCATTTCATTACAAGTACAATATGCATTACAGGACAGAAAAAAATGCAAAGCACAACAACCATTACAAATTGACACATTTCCACCAGAGAGGTCTCCAAACCCCAAACACTTGCATTTCGCAGCTTCAGAATCGTTTCCTGTAGAGGTGGTGTTAATTTATTTTCACCTAGAAAATCAACAAATCATGTAAACTGATCAGAGATATTCAAACTTTTGCATTCTCATTTCTCATTCTCTCTCTCTCTCTTCTGCAGAGTTGGACATTCACGCCGTCACTGGGATCATCGTTGGTGTGTGTCTTGGGCTTCTCTGCATCCTACTCTGCATGTGTATTAGTTTCCGCAACGGAAAAAGCCGGTACATGCCAGCTCACTTCTACTTTCTTACTCTCTCCCTCTTTTTCTGTCTCTGTACTTTCCTCTTTGTCTGTATGTGTCATTTTCTTCATTTGTATTCTTGAGCTGTTTGCCCAACTGAATGGGTTCTTTAACTAATCTTTAAGGGTGCAGTGTGAATGAATTCTTTATGACATTGTTGCCTCAGTTCCACTGGGTGCTGGAGAATTCTGCAGTTCAGCAGTGATGATTTTTATTCAGTCTTTTACTGTGGATCTGACAACAGCGGTATTGAAATATATTTTCTAGATTATCACATGCATCAGTAAGACACAATCATTCTTGGAAAGAAGCATTCAAATGTGCATGGTTTGAGTTGACAATCCTTCCCGAGTTTTGAATTTATGGGAAGTTTCAACACCAGTAGTGGGGCTTATAATGAAAATGGACGCTATATGAATAAGATGAGAAGGATTTTGGCAGGAGTGCCGTGTTTACTGATATTATCCCTAATCTACAATGACAGAATTGTAAAGCTACTTTCAACGGCAGATGTCCCAGCATAGTAGTCATTACCAGTCAGAGTGTGTGTGCTTCATATCATATGTGTGTATGTGTATGTGTCTCTATCAGTGTGGAGCAGCAGGAAGACAGGCAGATGTTGGGGTGTGTTTCATGCCATGGCTGGTTGCTTCTGCCTCTATTAGAACTCCTGCATGCCTAGTGAACAGAAATGAAGGCCAAACAAAAGACAGACTCACTCTGCTGAGCTTTGGCACAGAAATCCCAGCAAACGCAAATCACCGCCCTACGGGAATTTCCAGTTATTGTGCAAAACCACAGGCTTATATTTCGATTTAAATATAAAAGGAACGGCACATTTACATATACATAAATCTGACCTTTACATTTCAATAATTTTGCATAACTTTGCGTAGCTGCCAGTGAGAATGACTTTGACAGCGAGGCTTGTTATTTGAACGTTTGATGTAGTCTTGTTAAGACCAGCACGCTTATTTGCCTTTTGGTTGGCGGTTGATAATGACCTGTCCAGTTGTCTGAAGGAAAGGAACGTCATTAGATGTGATGACATCAGGTGAATTTTAAAAAATTTGAATGACCAATTCAGAATGTGATGGCAGGAACAGTGGGTGCACTTAACGTAAATATACAAATCAATTTTACACGATTTTACCCTTAATGGAAATGTAGTTGAAGGGGAAGTCTGTGTAAATAAGAATTTTGTTGAACTGTCATTTTTAAATGTACTCATTCTTTTATCAATTCTTTATTAATTATTTGTATTCACTCTCTTTTTCTGTTACTGGCTTTATTTTTGGATTTGTGTCTCACTTTGACTCTGTCCATTTCTCTCTCTCGCTCTCGCGCTCTCTCTCTCTCTCTCTCTTTCTCTCTGTCTGTCTCTCTCTCTCTCTCTCTCTCTGTCTGTCTCTCTCTCTCTCTCTCTCTCTCTCTCTCTCTCTCTCTCTCTCTCTCTGTCTGTCTGTCTCTCTCTCTCTCTCTCTCTCTCTCTCTCTCTGTCTGTCTCTCTCTCTCTCTCTCTCTCTCTCTCTCTCTCTCTCTCTCTCTCTCAGGGAGGCATCTGGAGGTTTGGAGCCCAGTGCATTAAGCTCCCAGTACCGCAGGGGTGGCCACGCTGTGTCCACTGCCGTGTCTGACTGCACTGACTGCCACGAGCTGGAGACCCTGATGCCTCCCTCAGCCCATGACCCTGCTCTGCCCCTCACCGAACCCAATGAACAGCAAAGCCTCATGGGTAGTGTAGGAACTGGTGATGACACAGCAGAGCCAAAAGTAAGATTTGTTAACTCTTAAAGGTATTCAATGAGTTGTGAGTCCATATCCCCGTCTAAAATACATTACTCTGACTTGTAGACGTCTTTTCAGTTCTGATTTCTTTACATGTATCCATGGCCTAATTAAGCCATTTGTGGCCGTAGGCTATGAAAAGTTTGAGCAACCCCCTTTAGATTTCTTGACAGGGTTGCCAGTTTTGGTGAGCTGACTGAAGTGTTTTTGCATGCATATGTATGTATCATTTGTTACTCTGATAAAGTACTAATTTGAACCGTGATCCAAGTTTTTAGCATGTAGATCCGTGCTTCTTAAACCAGCTTTCTCACAGCTCACACATGAGAGAAACATAGGATGTGTCTGCTTTATATTCTTTATTCTTACAAGTGGAGTTTCTGCTGGAACCTTCTCCTCTCGCAGCATTTACGAAGCTAGTTTTAGTAACACAGCATGAGTGGTAAGCCTAAACCAACCTTGTAGTGAGAACGCTCCTCGCTCTGGGCTAAATCGCACCACTCCACTTCCACTCCATACCACTCACATACTCTAGACACACTTGTACTATAAAAAAGACAGAGCTGCGGAGCTGCAGCCAGTGAACAGCTACAATATGAACCGATTAGATGTCATCACGCAAAAAGAATAAAAATAGCTACAAGGCAAACTTTGTAAATTTTCCACAGAGAACACTGAAACATCATAGCCTGGACAAACAGGTCAGTATTACATAACAGGTGCCGCACTAAATAACGTTAATATAAATGTGTAGGCGAATAGGGTGAATAGTGTGAAGTCAGTGAAAATGTGTTATTTTATATGTTCCTCACAGAAAATGAGCAAAGGCAAGGAATCTAGGGTTGAAATAATAATAAATCGCATAATTTTTTCTTTTAGTAAACATTGAAAATGGGTCCCACAGACCAGAACACCACACAATGTCATAGCACTCATATCTTCCATAATGTATAGTGGTCAGGTAAAAATGCTAAGTGTGATTTCAGCACACTACAATAAGACTGAGCTGGCTATATTGTGCTGAAATCACACTTAGCATTTTTACCTGACCACTATATTGTGTAAAAAAACAGATAACTCTTCATTTATTTTATTTACAGTCAGTATGTCCATTAAGTACAAGTTGTTCTTCTTTCAGGAGGTATTTATTAGGAGATCAGATATAAGATAATACAGTTGCATAAAGAAGGGGAAAGTCAAAGGGAAATTAGTGAAAAATGAGGCGATTCCAAAGCTAATGTTCAAAAAACGATTAAAAGGTATAGAGAACATGGGACTCCCAACAACTGGGCAAGACCTGGACCACCAAAACTGTCACCATCAGATAAACAGTACTTAAAAGCTTTCATCTTTGAGAGAGAGGAGACTGTCAAGCTACACTGACTTCAGTTCTCAAAAAATCCACAGGTGTTTCTGTCCGTCCTTCCACTGTGAGAAGACTGTTACAGAAAAGCTGTTACAGAGAAAAAGAAATAGAACAGTGAAACTGGACATCTGAAATGTGGAGTAAGGGTCTATGGACTGATAAGTCTAAACTTGTAACTGGGTTCGTGAGAAGCAGGATATACAACCAACTTCTAAGACAGAACTTTGAAGGTGTTTACAAGAATCAAAAAATATCCCTGTAGATTTCTTTGAAAAACTTATAGCAAGTCTCCTGAAAAGAATGGAAGCTGTAATAAAGGCAAAGAGTGGAAAAATACTGAAGAATTGATGTAGTATTTAGTTGTTGAGGCTTCTATGTAATTTTCTTTTATGTGTTTCTTGCTTTTTTCCTGACATCTGAAATGTATAACTTGCCCTTAGTTCAAGGGTGGTCTCAGACTTTTGCACAGTACTGTTCATGATAGAGCCACTTTTTTTTTGTATTCAGCTGACCTGGAACGGTTCAGTCAGCCGGGACTGGACGAACAGGATCACCAGATACAGAGACACGATCACCGAGGACTCTCCCTTTCTCATTAACGGACCTCTGGGCATCCCAGCCTCTGAGAACAGTAAGGTGAGAGGGAATGATGTGAATGTATGTGTGTGCACTTTCACCTTATGATTGTGGATGCGTGAAAATACATTTTCCATGGACATTGTGTATTTTTAATCATATAGTGATATGAAGCTGTGCACAGATTTATTTATGTGTGTGTGTGTAAGCGTGTATGTGTGGTGGAACACTGGGGGGAGGGTTGACTGAGCATGCTGCTTGTGGGCAGCAAACATCAGAGAAAGTAATTAACAGTAAACAGCCAGTGAGAATGACATATAGATAATTAGTTTGTGACAGGTGAAATGGTTTCAGTGAAGCGCTGCAGCTCATATCCCACTTACCAATGACCCCCCCTCCACACACACACACAAGGGGGCAGCAGGAAGGAGAGAAATGAAATGAATTCCTGATTTAGCTTTTCATCACACCTATATTGGCCCTGATTTATTCTCCCACTGACATTTACATCTTCGTCCTGCTGCTTCGTTTCCCGTCATTAGACTTGTAAGCACAGCGAGGAGAATGGAGGACGAAGCTGCGATGAGCCCATGTTTTCTCAAAATGGGGCTTAAAGCGAACGCGGTAAAGTCACATAGCATGACCGCTAGCATGATGGACAGCTCACGCCCATCTTGTGCATGCCTCGTTCCCAAGATAGATGGCTGTATGTTCTGGTTATTATTCATACATAAACAAAGGTAATGAATGAATAGCACATTAAATAGGGAATTGATAGCTGTCATATTGAAGTGCACTGTACACTGTACTGTAATAGTGGAAAGTGCCATATTTAACCCATGTTTCTGGTGAGCGGTAATCTTCCTGCCTGGGCGTGAAGCGTTTTTTTGTAGCACAAAATCTAAGACGAGTATTATTTTAATTTTCACTACAAATCTGCTGAACTCATCCTTAAATATAAAACAAAATATTGATATAGACAGTCAGGAATCCGAGTTTTCTGAATCACATTGGTATTAGCAAATACGCTGGCCAAAAGTATACATCGCACCCATATGAGCTTGTTGGACATCCCATTCCAAAACCATGAGGCTTAAAATGGAGTTGCCCCAGCTGTTGCAGCTATAACAGCCTCTACTTTTCTTGGAAGGCTTTCCGCAAAATTCTGGAGTGTGTCTGTGGGAATTTGTGCCCATTTAGTCCAAAGTTGTCACAGTCAATCCCAAAGGTGTTCATGTTCATCCCAAAGGGGTTCAGTCAGGGGTTGATGTCAGGGATCTGTGCAGGCCACTGGAGTTCCTCCACACCAAACTCCTCAAACCATGTCTTTATATGCCCTGGCTTTGTGCACAGGGGCACAGTCATGCTGGAATAGGAAAGGGTCTTCCCCAGACTGTTGCCACAAATTTGGAAGCATATAATTGTCTAAACTGTCTTTGTATGCAGTAGCATTAACATTACTCTTCACTGGAACTAAGGGACTGAGCCCAAACCCTGAAAAACAGCCCCAGACCATTATCCCTCCTCCACCAGATTTTGTTTGCACTGTGCCTCCTGATGGGTAACATTCTCCGGATATCTGCCAAGCCCAGATTTATCCATCAGACTGCCCGATTTATTACATTTCCTTTTACTACTTTATGATTTTTTTAGGTTGAACTGATGAACCATTTTTTACAGCATAAAATTTTTTTACTAACCAAAAGTACTTCTGAAAAATGTGTTTACACAGAGCACAGAAGAACTGGAAGTTGTCAGCCAGTTCTTGGAGGGAGTTCCTCTGTTACCTAAATGCTACTGTGAGCCAAGCAAGACTGGAACCCTATTTGTTTAAATGGAGAATTATCTTTAGAAGAGAATCTTGTCACATAAAAGATGCACAAACAGCAGTAATTTTACAGAAAAGCAATTGTAACTACTATGAATGCGTTAGTAAGCAGTAGGAATCTGTTGAGCCTCATTTGAAAATGAGGATACAATAAATATTTTTATGTGTAATACTGCATCATCTACATTTTTTAATACCACTATAGATTTCACGCTTGGTCACATCCACTCACAGCAAGGCTGGCTCTGCCATTAAAGGAAGACCTATTGAAACATAAGTAGCTAAAATTAATCTTATAATACATTCATTTTCAAATGATTTACACTGCTTATATTTTCTCCATTGAAAGGTCATTTTGGTCTAGGAATAGACTTAATCTGTGTCAGAAGTTTCTTTCTGTGATATTGTGTTTTTCATTAATGGATTTTGTGACATGCTGAATAAAATGCAGAGAATTTTGACTCTTAAGGTTGCTTTAGAAACACTGTGGCAGAGGTACAAGTTTATCAGGCACAGCAGCGCTGATGGGATTTGGTCTGCAGTCATTAATAGTATACCTACAAAGTGCATCTGTGAGGTAGGCATTAATCATAACTGTGTATTTGTGTGTTTCAGAGCGGTCATGAGGATCATCTGCATTCGCTGGGTTCTAATCAAGTGGAGGCAGAAGTGATAGTGCACTCAGAGCTGTCTGAGGCAGTGAATGGAGTTCAGAGTGACACTGATCTCTCTTTGGGGTCTCCTGGTTGTCAGGGCCCTGTTTACGGAGAGGAGGCGCCGCCCCTGTCATCCACAACAAACCCTACCCCTTCTCCCTCTGCCCCAGAGACCCGGCCTCCGTCTCCTCTTGTTTCCAACCACACCCAGGAGGTACTGTCCAATCACAGTGGGCCACTGGAGAGTGGTGGGCCTGCCCAGCTGACTGTAGGGGGGGCCAAACTCGAGGGGGTGGGGCTTACCAATGGTTTCCATTCCCCTGAGAGCCTGCGGTCTGGGCGGGAAAGCCTAGAGAACGGAGACCACAGACTCTGCTCCAAAAGGAAGGCTCTGTCTCAGCCTGGACTGCCCCCGTCCCCTCCAGCCTTCACCACGTCTGGCCTTGTCCAGTCTACCTCAGGTGCACACGGCTACCTGTGCCCCTAAGCTTAAATGAAGGAAATGAACCATGTTCCCAGGATTCCACAAAGGAGACGTAACACTAGGGTGGATTTGTGTGAAGGCAGGTGCCTCAATAGCGCCCCCTAATGGAGGATGCTTCATTCTTTCCCGTGGGCCAAGTGTCCATCTTTTGTCTGTTGCAACTTTGTTCCATTGTTTTATATGTATGTACATACAGAATATTTTTTTAGCTCTAGAAACCATGGGTATGCATTTTGTTGCATATCAGTGGCACTTTTTTTTGGAAAGGGGTTTGTGTGCATGGATTGTATGTATTGATTTGATATACATAGTTACATGCACACGTGACTTTATATATATATATATATATATATATATATATATATATATATATATATATATACATATATATATATACACACTATATATAAATATTGTAAAGTTGGAGTTTTCTTACTCTGAGGTGAAAGCAGAGGATCCTGAGGTCTAGGATCAGTCAAGAGCAAGAGCAGAATACACTGCGGAATACTCCAGCATTGCTCCAACCTAATTACTGTCCACTGCGTCTGTAGCATACGGTCAATTGCCGCAATAATTTTGATGCCTTTGCAAAAGCCAGTGGTACCAATAGGACCATTTTTCGGTTTATCAAAAATGATTGATAAAGATTGATTTCATTGCCGTGAAATCAATGGAAAAACGGAAATTGAACTCATTTTCCTTTCCTCTTTGTATGCAAGAGGGCTCTGCGTTCTGATCCGTGATCTGAAAATCCAGTCCTGGTTTTACACCCTATGAGGTGCATGATGTAAGCTCATTGCTATCAGTGACAGTATTTTTCATGCTTAACTTTAGTTCATGTTTAGTTAAGAAATTAATGTTTTAGTTTAGAAATTAAAGACTGCACTCATCCTAATGTGTACCTTTTCAAAAGTCGGCGTTTTCTTGTGTCAAAACTTGGCAGAAATGGAAGATGTCTTAGATATACTCAATATGTGACTGTAACACAGCCGTGGTTTTAAATGATAAAAATATCGAAAAGTAAATTTATCCCAGTTTTTTTTTTTTTTCCATGCTTATCCTCCCAGCTGTAGTGAGTGGGCAGGTGCATCAGCTGCTTTAGCATCTGCCCATTGACTTTGGTTCTTTTGTTAGTACCGGTAAATTGTCCGTGGCGATTGACCTTATGAAACGGATACCACAGATAGAGGTTCAGTTGAAGGACGCTGGAGTATTCCTTTAATCTAACAAACTCATCAGAGATCAGTGCCTGAAAAGCAGCTGTAGACTTTCACTGAGAGAGCCCACAACCCTGCCACACTCTACAGCCTCCTGCTGTCTCAGGGTCAACTTACACACACACATACACACAGTCCTGCATAGCCTTGTGGGGCCAGATGTGATCTTGTCATGAGAATACACGTATAGGAACAACTCGTTAAACTTTTGGTGCTGGTTGTGGCATAATCTGCATCAAACAAGGGGCAAGTGTATGCCCCAAGTGCCCCAAGTAAAACCCAACCCCAGATTTCTCTAGTGCGTGTTCTTTTAACGTTGGCACTAATCAATAACACAGGCAAAACAAGCTAGCTGGTGAAATGCTGTTGCTAGCTCTCCTTATATTGTCTTTCAAGAAGTGATGTTTATTTTTACAATATGTAATATGTTCTCAACTCAAATCAACATATCTGCATGCTTAATTGGAGTTTTTAAGGGACGTTTCAGCCATGCTAACTTGCATTGCATCCATGGGCTAACGACAGGCATGTTCCCAATCTAAATCTCCAGACTCTGACCCCGTGGCTTCTGGTCTCAGGTTTTGGGCCTAATGTCTGTTGTCAGCAACAAGCTATTCAGCTAACATTAATGATATGGCTAACATTCATGATGTATTTACATTCTCAAAACAGTGAACTAAATAGTCAGTGTTATAGATTTAAGTTACTTATGCGTCTGTATGTTGTCAGATTCAAAGCAATCATTATTTAAAAGTAAAGAAGTGGTTATGTATTACTGTTGATAGTGTGAGCAGCCTACGCTGAGCTCAGAGCTGAGAACACCATCCCAACTTTTCGAGCAGGAATTCCCAGTTAAGGGGACGTTTTCCTTGATTTTTTTCTGGTCGGAGGAGGGAGATTCTGAGATACAAGCTTCTGTCGAACACAGCATTAAATTGGAAGACGTTCTTAATTTCTTTGTTTAAAAATGTAGTTTTTTTATTTATTTTTTTGGAACTCCTCCTGTTTTATTTTTCGTTTGTCATCACAATCTCCACTCTGGAAGTTTAGAGAAATGTTACATAGCCCTTACAGCCTATAGGAATGGATTAAACAGCCCTGCACCCTTGTGGACGTTCTTGGTAAAGGGCACGTTAAGTTTGTGTTTCTAGAAGTCCGAAGAAGATCAGAGATTTAGATTGGGCATTATTGTTCACTGTGATGTTGACGAGCACACCGTTTGCCCCTTTGGTTGATCCCTGTCTTCATGAGGCATTAGATTGGCTTAGAAGTTTCAGGTTAATAAATTTCCGTCCCACATTTAGCCCCAAATTTTTCAGGGTTGTCTCCAGACGTTCTTGTTACAAGATCATGCCTGGCCCCACGAGACTAGGCCCTGGACAGATAGACCGTACTCTAGAAAGATTTTTGTTTGATCATACACTGTTAGAGACTTTCTCTCTTGATCATGTTTTACACACTTTTTTTTCTTTTGTTCCTGTCTGACACACACACACACACACACACACACACACACACACACACACACACACACATCAATACAAATAAAAAAACACATTCCCTGACAGGCGCATTTCTAACCTCTGTGTATTTATATACATTACTACATAAAATACCAATAAAAATGTGACAAAATGAAGAAACAGAAGGACTGCTGAAAAACAGAAAAACAATGAAGGAAAGGCATACTGTACTTGTACTTTTTAGCTTTTTTTAAGTATGATTTGATTTGCTGGAGGATGTTTCTCTCCCAGCCACTACCTCATTTGTTTAAAGGATCCTTTTTTTCTTGCATAATTTAATTGTCATGAATCACTTATCATTCAGAGGGCAACTTTTTGAACCTTGGTTTATTCAAACGGTCTTGCAGAAGCCCCGCCCCCTTCTGTCTTCTGTGCATTTATATGAAGGTTAATGGGCACCAGGAAATGATCTGGTACATCAGCGCACCTCTTTACTCTGAAAGCCGCCAGCCGTCGTCTCTTCAGATAAAACGGTTTTGCAATATCCTCATTTAGAGGAGAGATTAGCGTGAAACTCAGTCTTAACTCAGGCCTTTCCGTGGGTGTCCGTAAATGCACCGTGCGATGACTGGAGGCCCGTTTTTTTCCTCACCTTGTTTGTTTTGTAGATCCTTCCCTCACTCGTCTTTTCTCAGGGAGCTCTGAGCAGGGAAGCTGTGCAGGGAGTCTGAGAAGAAAGCAAATCCGTCTGTCAAACTCTAAAATAGCCCTTTGTTTCTTCAGCCATAATTCACAGTTTCTTCCCTTCTGCTGACTCATATTGCCACTAAGAGCAGGATTTGTTTCTATTTCCTTTTTATGCATTTTATACAGTTATTTAAGCATCTTTATTTTCTTTTGATAAAGAAAATCCTTATTTCTTACATGTTAATTGTTTTATCGGAACAGAAATGCTGAACCTCTTGCCAGACATTTGACTCAGAGACGTTTGCCCTTTATGCTGAAGTTTTGCTAGCTTGTTTGTTATTGAATAATTAAGAATCGCTGATTTTAATGTGTATCAGCAAAATGGGTAAGTTCAGCTCAGCTCTCTGGTAGAGTCAGGTTCCAACATGCTCAACCTGTTGTCTCCCACATTGATCCTGGTACGTAATAACATACCTTCTCAGAAGGGTTAGCTCGGTGCTACAGCTAGGCGAGGTGCTTTTCAGGATGGTCTCTAAAGCATTCCAGTTTTTTCTATTTTCATCAGGGGCCTCTCAGGTTCGTCATATACGAAACGAAACAAACTGAATGTCCGCGTTACTGGTATCATGGTGTCCTCACGTCGCGTTCAAGCATAACAGCTCGGCATCTCAGTCACACCAACTGCCACGTCTTAGTAGTTCCGTTTTCTGAAGTGACCAATCAGAAACTTGCCCTTGTTATGTTAATGATGTATTTCTATGTAAATTAATTTCCACATGTAAAGTTTCCTTTTTGGATACAACAGATTATGCTACATGTAGAGATTATGCTATGTGTATTTGTAATATAAATTTTGCATATCGCTGTCAGAAGAAACCCTTATATCTCCAAAATGGTAACTTTACAGGAGAAGGAAAAAACCTAATTTACTTTTAATGTAAGTCAATGGAACCAGGCATTTTCCCCAAGTCATTTTGAGCTGTTTCTTTAGGTCCATTCATCACGAAATTTACATACACTGTAAAGAACAACAGGTATTTTCAAATTTTGTCAAAAACTGAAAAACGACAAAAATGGAGATATGACGTTTTCTTCTGACAGCTCTTATGCATAGATTGTTCTACACACATTAAGCCTAGTTCTGGTCTCGACTGTTTATTTAGGCCAAGACTAGGCTTAGTCTTTGTCTTGCCCCTGGAATTCAACTGTTTAAAGATGCTTGTTTGCGTTCATTGGCTTATTCAGAATCACATTGGCCACATGATCTTTTATTTTCCCTTAAACTCAATGATGTTTGAATGTATTCTGATACCTATAGTATATGTGTACATATAAGGGCTGATCTCCCAGACACTAATTAAGCCCAGCCTTGGACTATAGAGGTTTATGTGTGATTCAGTCCAGAAGTGTAGGCCTACAGTATGAGTCTGGAAACTCACAACAAACTCAGTTTATTTAAGGTGGCCTGTAGATAAACGCAATTGATCTATCCATGCTTTGCCCACAGATGCATTCTTTCTTGCGAGTTTGGGCAAGCTTTACAGAACATTGGGGGAACCTTATTCAGGCTAATGAGAATGTAATGCAGCTTTTCAAGATGCGTTTCAAATGTTGATTAGATGTGTGTGAACAGTCTTACTGTAATAGATCTTTCGGCTTTTATTTGGTCTGTAATCAGGCAAATGTAAACATGGTGGCAAATTCATTGTTGTTTCCAACCTGCCTAGTTTCACTTAGCTAGTCCAGCTCTATAGCACAGCAATTTAAACTGGAAACTCAACTATATTCAACGTGAAGCCCTATCTAAACTCATTAAGTGGGATTTTTGTCAGCGTCCTGTAAAGCCTGTCCAATCTCAACAATAAATACGTGAGAGGCCACCATTTCAACTGTGCCAAAGTTGTAAACCCATGAAAAGAGCTTCTTAGTACTCCAAACTGGGCTTAAAATACATCTGAGAAATCTCCCTGTTGTATTATTGATAACCTTGTGAGTTTTAGCTCTGTCTGAAACAGCTAAGTCTACGAAAGCAGATCATAGTGTTCATCACAACCACTATGTGAGGTTCATTTTTGGCCTTTTTTTCCATTTTCTCTGGAAAAACAAACAATATTTGTATTTCTTTTGCTCAAGAGTTGACATCTGTTTTCAAAGTGTTGATCTTGCCTTTCATACTTGGATATGCACAGATTTTCAATAATGGCATCTTCTCTCTTTATATAAGACTATTAGTAGAATACCTCATGTGTTACTTACTTGTTAATTTAAATGTAATCATATTCTTAACATGGCACATAAATGTATGTTTATGAAGGGTTAGTTCAGTCTTAGTATCTGATGACTGGGAGCCATGCTTGTAGACACAGATCTTTAAATAAACTTGGAAATGTATTTTTAAAGGTACCCTAAGTAGAACTTTCCATGACAACAGGACAAAATATTGAAGACTACTGCTGGTTGACGTTTTGGTAACCAGTGACAAGAAGTGGGTTGGTGTGGTGGGCTGCCTTAAATGAATAGTTTGGCAAAAATCTAATTTACATAATTGCTGAACAGCAAAAAAAACATTTTTGAATAGATGACCATATGTAATACAGTGTCAGAAACCACATAAGCACGTCTATTTCGGGATTGTTATTAACTCTGAGATCTGAGGCAATGCGGTGATTTTGGCAAGTTGTGATGTGCTAATTTGTGGCTTCCATTATTTGGTAGCCACACTGCAAACTAAAGAAGCAAACTTTGTACAGCACACATGCTTTCATTGACCACATTTGTGGTGAAGGGATGATTTTGTAAATTTGATTTTTCATCTAACTGTTTCTTTAAAAGCCAGCAATGAACCAGTTTTACTCATTGTACTTGTAAGGTATGTTTCCATGCTGGTCAGTGGAGAAGGCCTATCAAGGGGTTTTTCCACCGGTCAGTGCCATACAGTACGGTACGGTTACAAACCTGTGATCACACACTCTGTCATCATTTCCACTGCCATGTGAACTGTACAGTGCACAGTTACCAGTGCTGAATTCGGTTGCCTGTTTGGTCAGGGTACCATACTGAACTGCAGTATATGGTGGAACAAGAAATAGTGCAGACTAGTTGTAATCCACACAGGATCATCGTGAGTTTTCACAACCATTACGTCTAAAACCCTTCCAGCCAGGTTTGCTATCTCACATGTATAACTACATGCAGAATAAAAGGTAAATCATAACTCTGAGAGAACCCCACCTACTTTCATGTGTACAATGCAAAACAGACAGGGTGAGGATATTTCCGGATTTGGACTAGTAACCGTACTTTGGCGTACTGCATTATCCGATGGAAAAGCGCCTTAAACGTCTGCTAAATTAGGGAACTTTGGCTTTCACATGTGTCTACACAAGATGTGAGGAGTTGTTATGATAGAAATGGGCAACTTTGGCAAAAAAAAAGCTCTTATTAATGCTTTATTGGAGAAATGTACTGCTGAGAAAGGGTCTCCTGCCAAGTCTTAAGGATTGAAGGCACATGAGTGTGTATTCTCAACATGTGTCTGTTTCTCAGGTGCCCTGCCTTTGCATTAAAACTGTAGAGGAACCTTTCTGTCCAAACACGACTCTGAACCGTGAAGTTTGCCGTAATCATATGAAAAAGATGACTAAGATGAAGAGCAATGATGAATACTGATGCACAGCCTCAGCTTTTAGGTTCGGAAATAACAGTGACCCTAAACCGCTGTCTCCCTGGTGCTTTGTGGTGAACGGCCAATGCCTGGTGCCATCACAGTATGTGCTTTATTGTTTTTGTTTTTACTATGGACAATTTCCTAGCTGTCCAACCTGTGTTTTCCATTCGGGTTCAATATGTACAAAACCTGCAAAACTGGTGCTCCGGTGTGTTCAAGGCACACCACCTCAGGCCCTGTTTGCACCTGGCAGTAACCTCTGTCTCGAGTGATCTTATCATAAGTGGACAGCGAGATGTATGGCTGTTTATACCTGGCATTTCCATGTGTCTCGAATGCATCTCCAGTGACCACTTGATTGGATTTTGTGACTGGGGGAGGGGTACCACACACATCAGTCTCTTGCTGTATTTCTGGTCAGTCAAAGGAGTCCCTTTGACCTGGTACAGTCATTTAGGTCCAGCCTAAATTCATTAGATTGAATGGAGCTTTTGTTAGCCTGTCCATGCTCGCCAAACTAGCTACGAAAGACCATATCTGTGGGCTGAGCTTGGACAGATCGGTCAATTCACCATTTCACTTCAGTGATGCCAGTGTTTTAAAACCATTAAAAAAGAAACCCAGTATTGCTACAAGTGTTCAGATGACGCTTTGAGTGACTTATGGACAGAACTTCCAGCAATGCTAATAACATCCTAATGTGATACAAATGTGGGCATAAATAAAAATGTAAATAATCTTTGTTATTGAGATGCTTAAATGCTTGTGTGCTGATGTTTATACTGATCTTTCAACAAAAACCTGAATCTGCATGAGAGGAACATTTTATTTCATTTCAGCTTTTTAATTTTGCTACCACTGAGTGTCAGATAGAGCCAAAAAATGTTTTTTTTTAAAAAAAGCAGCACTGCATAGCTCCTAGTATTTTCACTGTTGTGTTTTAGCACCAAGCTAGCAGGGGTAGCTCTGCTCTATCCTGGATTTTTAGGTCAGCAGTAGTTTAAATATGGACATTTTAACCTTATAACAGACATACAAGTGTTTTAAGGCCATTACACGCCGAACATGATGTGAAAAAACAATAAAAAATGCAAAATAATCAGGCCCTTTTTTTTGCATTAAAACTGTACACACAGCAAAATTTAGAGTTAAAATGTGACACAATATTGTTTTTTCTTTTTTCAATTTTTCAATTTTGAAATTGCACTGTGAAAAAAAACAGGCAGAATCTCTATGAGAAGGTCCTTTGCTTCTCATGAAAGAGGCAACTGTGATGTGCAAAAAATCTCATTTCAGGAGCAAAGTTTTATGAACTTTCTCACTCACAGCTCAGATCTCCGTAACTCCGTTGGAGCTGATTTCTAGCATTTGTCAGATAAGGCTCCACACGAGACGAAGCACAGACATGCAAAATGTCTTCAAGGGCAAATAAGACCTCCTTCACTCCTAACGGAACAAACAAATGGTCACCCTGGGCTACTGTGCATTTTGGAAAAGTGAAAGTAGTATGGACATGTTCGTTAACTTTGTAGCCCCGTTTGAGCTCCATCTGAGCTGATTTCAGCGATCCTTCTAGCCTTTGTGAAAAAATTCCAGTTCCAGCCAGTTCATCATCTTGGCTGTCGTCATGGTCAGTGAGTTCTTGTCACTGGTGAAAATCAAACACAGAGCGAAGAGAATAATGTCCAAAAAAATGGCGTGCAGGATGCCATCAGTTACACAGTTGCACATGCTTAAATTAATTTTTTCATCTGAATAATTTGCATGAATAAATTACGTTCAGTGTGTAAAGGCCTTAAAGCGTATACTTAAAGTCTGTCTTTTGTTATTGTAGCATTGGCCGGTTATCGTTCTGCTGACCTGTTCAGCCAACTGTAGTGAGGGCAGAATATATCCCGTTATAAAGAGAATATAAAGTGTAATATTCTCTGTTAGCAGCAACCACTGATGTTCACCTGGTAATTTGTCATCTTATGTGCAAGAATTTCAGTGATAGTGATGAATGAAGTCATAACCTAGTGAATAAACCAACAGTCATATGTCGTCTGAAGCTCTGTGCTTTCTTGAGAGGTTTATGCTCATAAGATCAGATCTTCGAGATGCATTGGACCCCTGTCACACCTGTACATAGCACTGTCCACTGACATATATTAATGCCAGGAACCTCAGTGATCTACATTTACAGCCAACACAATGTGATGTTACCACCTGTTAGTCTGTAACTTTCTGTTTGTCTACTGGGTTCATTCTTTAGCACATGCTGTTGTGTTGTGACTAAAAGGAGAAGTGAAAGACGCAAGTATGTGCACCCAGTCTCTTCTTTTTGGGGGAACGGTGTGCTGGTCCTCATTCTGCAGCACCACTGTAGCCTGCTTGGCGTCAAGCATGTGAACTTCATCACAAGGAGATACAGATTAATCTGTTGCCAGCTCATGTTACTCAAAGAGAACTGGATGTTACTCATTGGAATAATGTAGCAGGAAAATATGATGTCAGGTTCAGTTTGGACATAGATTGAAGATTTGAGATGTTTTGAGGTGTTTGTGTTGTTTTTCATTTCTTCCCCTCCATATTACAGGTTCTCTGTTGTGAACTCAGCAGTAGCTCATGAGCACACAGTCACCCCTCAGTTGGCTGCATTAACATGTACGATCTAAATAAAAACCTTAATAAAGAAAGGTGAGTCAGCAGAACAAAGCCACACTGTGTTTCCTCACAGATTTAGGACCAGAATTTTGTCTGAACTGGTCTGAGCTGCACTCAGGATACTTATATTGTCACATTCAGCAGTTAGAGTGGATTACATTACATAACATTACGAGTAAGAATTTTGTGTTTGATTTTATGTAAAACAAATAAATCATACATCACAAAACAGTGTTTTAGCATTACCTGATAAAATCTTTGACTAACCTCCTGTTCTTTATCTTTGGTCAGCTCCGCTCTTAAGACAATTTATAAAATCAGCACCAAAATAAGTGTCTTTATGTACATAATCAGATATGCCACATTTACATAGGACATTGAACAAGTTGCCTCAAGCTTAACTGTAAACATAAACCAGTTGTAATTCATTTTAGTCTAAATGTCAGGTAATCAAAAGACCAGTTCACTCCTACATCACACACACACTTTCTAAGCCACTCATCCTATGTGAGATAGTGTGGTATACTGCACCGTGGTGTGTGTGTATATGTATGTATGTGTATATATATATATATATATATATATATATATATATATATATATATATACATCCTCTGTTGCATGACTCACTACTGAGTTTCAGCCTCTGGAAGCAACATCAGTACAAGAACTGTGCATCAGGAGCTTCACTCCCAGTCTGATGGACAAATCTGGGTTTGGTGGATGCCAGAGGAACACCACCTACAAAATGAAGAGTGCCAACGGTAAGTTTGATGGATGAGGGATAATGGTCTGGGGGTGTTTTTCAGGGTTTGAGCCCCTTAGCTCCAGTGAAGGATAATTTTGAAGCTACAGCTTATAAAGATATTTTTGTTATGTGGTTCCAACTTTGTGGTAACCGTTTGGGGAAGACACTTACCTCTTCCAGCTGGACTGTGCCCCTGTATACAAAGCGAGCTCCATAAACACATGGTTTGATGAGTTTGGTGTGGAGGAACTCCAGTGGCCTGCACAGAGCCCTGACATCAACCCCACTGAACACCTTTGGGAGTGACTGTGAGCCAGGCCTTCTCATCCAGCCTAACCTGCCAAATGCTTTTTGGACTAAAGATGAACAAATTCCCACAGACACACTCCAAAATGTTGTGAAAAGAGTAGAGGCTGTAAAGAGGGGACCAACTCCACATTAAGCCCCATGGTTTTGGAATGGGATGTCCAACATGCTCATATGGGTGTGATGTATGGGTGTCCACATACTTTTGTCCATATAATGTATTTGCACCAATGTGATTCTGAAATCACTGTGCGTCCTGACTGTCTATATCAATATTTTGCATTACATTTAAGCAGTCCAGCAGATTTCTAGTGAAAATTAAAATAATGCACAAATAGCCTCAGATTTTGTGCTACAAAGTAATTGTCCTCACACAGGCAGGATCATTGCTCACCAGGAACATGGGTTAAATATGGCACTTTTCAGCAATTACAATACAGTGTACCGTACACTTCAATATGACAGCTATCTATTCCATATTCATTTAGGGAAAAGATAGCTGCCATTTCCCTGTTCCAGCATGGCCTGCTTTTGTGCACAAAGTTAAGTTTGTAAAGACATGGTTGGATGAGTTTGGTGTGGAAGAGCTCAAGTGGCTTGCACAGACCTCAACTTAACAACTGGGACGTCGATCGCGGGCCAGGTGTTCTCGTCCAGCATCAGTGCCTGACCTCACAAAAGCTCTTTTTAAAAATCTTGTGGAAAGCCTGCACAGAAGAGTGGAGGCTGTTATAGCTGCAGAGGGGTTGCCTACTCCATATTAAGGTCCATGTTTAGGGAATGCAATGTCTATCAAGTTCATATATATATATATATATATATATATATATATATATATATATATATATATGTCTGTTGTCAGAATAAAACCAAAATCTCCATTTTTGTTGTTTGACATGATTTGAAAATGCCTGTTACTCTTTGTGTGTAAATTTCATGATGAATGGACCAAAAAAAATGACCCAGAATTACTTGGAAAAAAATCTGATTCCATTGACTTACATTAAAAGTAAAGTATGTCTTTCCTGCTCCTGTAAAGTTACTATTTTGGAGATACAAGGTTTTCTTCCGACAACAGGGATACCTAAAATCATCTGATCATGTCACTTTTTTCCACATCTCTGTGTCTGTGGCACTGAACTCTCAAATGTGCATTCATCCTTAATTGACATTCTCATTTTCAGTCACCTAAGCAACAGCTGCTCTTCTGTTCTTCTGTTTTTCCTTACATACCACATTAACACACAAACATCACTGTCACTGAATGTGCACTTTCAACCACAGTTTCCAACCCTGTCGAATGACGTCTTTCTTTTACATCTAAATGCAGATGTCACTTTAGTTACTGTTCCTGTTGTAACACTAGCCAGTTCAGCAGCCTTTGTGACTGAGACTCCTGCCAGCCGTGCCCCAATAATGACTGATCTTTTAAAGTCACTTACATCTTCTCATCGTGATCTAGAATCAAGGTCAACTGGGCCTGCTCAGCATTTTTATACAGGCCACAAAGCATGTTAGAATTGCTTAATTGTATCATGTCTGAAAGCATCTGCACTCATTATAACTCCCCCCTCATCTATTTTTCATTCGTCACCCAACTAGTCCTCCAGATTTACCACTGTTTTACATTAACATCAACATTACACATAAAACTGAGAAGGCACTTGTAGATTCACTGGTCATTTTGGATAGCAAATAACATGGATGCATTTGTGTAGACGATGGGATTTTGGAGTAATTTTTAGTTGGTGAAATTCCCCTTCCATCCATCCATTCCAGTTTTAACTAAACGCTCTGCCCTGGAAACGCTCTGGGAGTATATCTATGGAAAACTGAAGCTCCCAAAAATAATCTAGTTCTTACAAATCCTCACCATCCTTCAATGCCACACCACTGATTACCTGAAACCTATAGTTGATATGCTAAAGGTTTACAACAGACAGCATTATTTTTTTACAAAGAGTACAAGACACGTCTGATTATTTAATTACTGTGCATTTATAAGAATTGCACGCTTGCTCTGCAGTGAATGCCGAGTGCCGTTAAGTGTGGTAGAGCCATTAGGCCACAGAGAGAATGGCACGTTAATCAGATTCAAATTAGAACCACATGGACTGTGATCATGCTGTAAGAGTACAATTTACCTGTCCGTTTGATAAAGGCACAGGTCATTCAACTAGTGCTTTTAACAATAGCTTTCAATTGCTTTTAGACTGTTTAGGATTGCTCGATAGACACTTGTGAAAATGAGGTAAGGTTTTTTCACTAAGGCTGTGCTTCTGCTATCCATAGGTTTATTCATTTAAAGTAGTACCCTGTATATAACTAGATATTCAGGGATCGCTATAGCAAAATACAGTACAGTAATACAATACAAACACAATATTTAGAAGACTAGAACATCTTAAACACGCTATACACATTTAATCTTAATTATATGCTAATATACTAATAATGACTAACCATTTAAATTTTTTAAACTGAAATACATGAAGAAGTGCAAAACCATCATACTGTACTTGAGTCAGGGGGGAGTGTGGAATATTTTAGTCTAAACTGGCCACCATGTGCCCTTTAAACCTTTAGAAGGTTAGACTTTCTGACATCAAGTTTGATTTTCCATCAGTCTGAAGAACCCTTTTATGGTGCAAAGAACCCTTGAATTGTGCAAAGAACTATCTTTTTTAAAGAGTGTAGAAAACCATGCAAAGAACCATTTATGCATTCTGATGGTTCCTTGAGTGATCATGCCTCTATATAGAACCAGTGCTTTTGCCTTAGAACCACTGAAAAACATTTGTATAATTAAAGTTGCTACTACTGCTAATGGCTATGTTTATTACAGAGCTACAGAAGGTACAGTGCTTTTGCTTACAAGCAAAGGGTTGTATGTAGTACCAAAAAGATTCTTTGACTTGTAACTGTAGTAGAACTGTTTTGCTGGTATATACAGTTCTACCATATGGTTCATATACAACAGACTTTCCATTGTTAGCACCCATGCAAAGAACTACTTACGCATTCCGATGGTTCTTTGAGTGTTCATGGGTCAGTACAGAACCACTGCTTTTAGGAAAGAACCACTGAAGAACCATATGTGTCATCAAAGTAAACTGCTAATGGCTAAATCATCCAGCTACGCTTAATACAGAACAAGCCAAGCAGCTATGTGTTTTAGCATACAGCAAAGGGTTCGGTTTGAGGTGTGATGGTTCTACATGGTTCTACGCCCAACGGAACATGATTCAACCAGGACATTTTTTCTCTGTGGTATGGATACGGCTAATTGGGCTCTCCTATTCGTTAGGCCTTTAGGAGCTGAGCTGCAGTCCTGTCAGATTAACCAGGAACTGACCTCATTCTAGGCCCTGAAGTTCTGTGAATAGGAGGGGTAGTCTGACCAATGTCTCAGTTGGGTTTCAGTCATAAGTTAGAAATGGAAATCAGCCACAGCTCTATGTCGAAGCTTTGAAGGAGGCACTGTTACAAGGTAAAATACACTATATGGTATGAAAAAGTATGTGGATATCTATACATCGCACCCATCTGAGCTTGTTGGACATCCCAATCCAAAACCATGGGTATTACCACGGAGTTGCACGCTGCTTCTGTGGCTACAACAGCCTCCATTCTTCTGGAAAGTTTTTACATAACATGGAGTGAGTGTGTTTGTGGGCATTTGTGCGAATTCAGTTGAGTCAAGTGAGCATTTGTGAGGTCAGGCACTGATGTTGTGAACAGTAACCAGTAACTGCAGAGTCTCTTTAACGCTTATTATGAACTACAGCGTTTCTAAAGCGTGTGTTTTTAATGAAAAATAGCGTTAGCAGAGCGCTGCTCTCACCACTGCTTACTGCTCTCGCTAGATGGCGCTGTTTCACCAGCATTGAAAGTGCTCACGCCCTCTGTTGCGAGCATCGGTTAAATGGACTTGTGTTCATTTTCTGCCATGTATGAAATCCCGTGTTTCCCTTATGAATTCCAAGGCAAAGCAGTTTAGAGAATATTAATCTCTACAGTAACCTGGAACAGAAGGAGACCAGATTAAATCAGTATAGCTTTACCTGCAGTAACAGCAGTAGTTTCCAGTTGGGCGTGGATCAGAATGATCCGGTTTAATTACATTTTAATTTAAATTTAAGTTTTAACTCACCGGTTGGAACCGCATTCAACAGAAGAGCGTTTGTGAGCGGAGCCCGGCCAGTCAAGCTCCCTCATATCAGATATATATAAGAAGAAGAGGAAAGGCAGCCAACATCCAAATCTAAATTCATCTAAGATTGTTCACACTTTTGTCAGTTGTCCAATACAGCATAAAACTTAGAATGGAGCCTTTAAAAGGTTCTTTAAAAAGGTTCTTCAAGGGTTCTCTAGTAAAGGCAGTGGTCATATAGAACTGAGACACCTCAAAGAATCATTTGAATGCCTGAATGCTTCTTTGCATGGTTGAATGGTTATTCTCTATGATGGAGAAAATGTCATATATGGTTCTATAAAGGAACTTTAAAAATGGTTCTATGTATAAAAAAGGGTTCTGCATTTGTTATACGTGAAAAAAAAATGTTTTTGCTACTATAGACCCTTTTAGTGTATGAGCTAATCTAATTTAGCCTTTAGTTTAATACACCCTGCTGCTCAACATACTATTACAAAATAACTAATAATAAAAAAAAATAATAATTAAAAAAACAATAATAATAATAATAAGCAGGAGGACAGGAAAATTATTGATGCTTTTCTGCTGGTGAAAACTTTTAAGAGTACCTCAGACAGCAAAGAAAGAAGATGGATCCTTGACCAAATCAACCTCTCACTCGACGTTAAGATAACTCAACTGAATCTCTCCTATTTTAACATATTCTGATAGGAAAGGACAGTTATGCCTGGAACAGTTGAAGGATGACTAACAAGATGGATGGACACAATCAGAGGAATCATAAACAAGCCATTAAGAAGCCTGAGGACCCAAACAGATGACTGGACATTCTGGAATAAACATTTATATGATGGCCAGCAGTCAGAACGGATTTGAAGGCATTTAATTAAAAAAAATAATAAAGTAAAACATCCTACTCCTCCTCCTAAAACTACTACTAATTATTATTACAAATAATTGTTACATAATTATGAGGATAATAACATAATAATTATTCTAAAATGATATAATAACATCTGTACAAAAAACTTCATATTGCAGACTGAATTTTAGTAAAATAACAGCAAACGATACGAACAATGTGCCTTCTGCAATGTCTGCGAGCGCGAGAGAGAGGCGTGTATACACACACACACACACACAGAGAGAGAGAGAGAGAGAGAGAGAGAGAGAGAGAGAGAGAGAGAGAGAGAGAGAGAGAGAGAAGCTCGGTAGGGGCGGCAGTTCGTAGCTACTGAGAGAAGGAGCGTGGACGCGCGTGCGTGTGAGGAGCCAGAGAGCAGCGCGAGGACAGAAAGAGCGGTGGAATACAGTGGAAGCGGAGGAGAGAGAAAGAGAGAGAGAGAGAGAGAGAGAGAGAGAGAGACCCACATTCCTCGTAGATGTGCAAAATGGCGCGAGTGTGCTCGGTCCCGGCTCGCGCTCTGTAGCTCGGTCTGTGTTCGGATGCGCGGTTCTTCTTCTCCTCAGCTCGCTTTTGTTCTCTGGATTTGCGGAGCGTTTTTAAACTGACCCTGATGGCCACCGATTGGCGCCGCCTGGCCGCGCGGCTGCTGGGACTTTGGCTGCTGCCTCTGTTTGGTAAGTGCACCAGCACCCTGCCTGCAGCTTCTGCACAGCACCTTACTGCTGTTGGGGGTGAGGGGAGAGGAGTGTGTGTGGGCATCACATCGCCTCTCTGCCGTCTCCCAAAGCCAGTGGGTGTGTGGAGCTTTGTGGAGGAGCGGAGGCTACTGAACGTGAACCTACTGACCCGCAGCTCTCCAGCAGCTCAGGGCTGGACTGGGGAAGCTCCAGTGTGTTCAGATGCACATACGTTACATCAGCAGAGGCTGGAGTCACCAGTGCTGAATTAATGTCTACAGTGTTAAAACCTACAGTTGTTGGGTTCAGTTGATTTTTATGATGCTCATTTGTGTCTAGCTGGACAGAAATGAACACTGGAGGTCTTACTTCAGCACTGTTGATGGTTTTTGTGAAGGTCCTTAGAAGGTCCTCCAGGTCTTTAAATGGTCAAGACAGGGCACCTGGACATGCTGAAGACACCAAGCCTTGAATGAGTGATGAAATATCTTATTATAGCACATGTCCAGTGGCCTAGACCTGCACCTACACTCTAGCTGTTACTTCAGTGGTGTTCGTTTTAGTTCAGCTCTGTTGGTTTTGGTTCAGCACTGTAGGTGTTAATTCAACACTATGCTGATTCAACACTGTACATACATTGAATATAGATATTCAGCACTGAGTTAATGTAACACTGTGCTGTGTAGGTTGACTAAGGCCAATGGATGTATCACTTCAACACTTGGGGTTGGTTTTGGATTAAGCCTAGTCCTAAAATACATTTTCCTTTCAGTGGAGGATCTCTATTCAGAGTGTTGTGTAGCCTAGGATTGGGTTTAATCCCTCACTGCGTGCCAGTTTTCTGGACATGGATGAAGCCTAATCTTGAACTAAATTGCAGTATCAGTGGTCTCACAGTTGGTCTTAATCTCGACTTGGTCTTAATCTGGGTCAGGATATCGCTGATATTCTTTATGTTGGTGGGCATTATGCTGAGCATGAGAGTAACATAAAAGCAAAGAATTGTGTGAGTGGGGGGAAAGGGGGTGATCAATTAGCCCTATTTTGTTGCTAAATGCAGCAGTCTGATCGTTATTGAGAGACTGCATCCCCCCACCCCCTTGTGTATGTGTGTGGACTCGTGTTAAAGGACCAGGGAGCCCTCCGCGTGTTTTATTGTTAGCCTGCCTCTTCCAGTCTTCTCCGTTCTCAGCTTGAGATGGACGGCCTTGAACAGCTATATTTAAATCTATATTTAAAGGCTGTTACACACGCTCTTCATATCTTAACATTTACAACCGCAGATCTTCTTTCATCTCCATGCTTCCCTCGCTTTGGCTGTTTATGCATGTTGTAGGCTATTTGATCCGCCCTCACATGTTCCTCACCCATGGTGAACCCCATCGTGGTTTGTTTCACTGAGGGTGATTAGGTGGACAGAAAAGAAAAGTGAAGATAGCAAGTCAAAGCCATCCACGTGTGTTTCAAGTGACCGTTTCCATTCGTCTTAAGTGCAGCCCAGAAATATGCCTCCTGTCTTCTGGCTCTAGCAGTTTGAAGCCATTATCTGTCAGGGGCTGCCAGGGGGCTTTGATTGACCGTCTGTTGGTGTAGTTTGGGGTGGGGGGAGTGGTTGAAGTGGAAAGATGAAATGTAAAGGCTTCGCTTCACTTCTTTTTTCACATTTCTCTGGCTTCTTTGTTCACCGTGATTGACGGCCAACGTGAGGCTTGGCTTTCCCCATGTGGACCCTCATTTAAAGCAGCATAGAGGTGATGGGGCTGTAAAAAATCATGGTTTACTCAACTTCATCACCTACCGGCGTGATCATGAGCTCATGCTTCTGCGTTTAGTATCACGTGAGCAGCTCTCACATGCTTTATCAACTAGATTTCCTCAGAAAATGCACGTTGTTTGTGTGAGTGCCACTGAGAGACCGTTAATAAGGCAATCACAGTCAGTTAAGGGGTAAAGGGGTGGGCGTGTCAACACATCAGATGGTTTTTCTCTCTCAGATGCAATTTCCTCCCTATTTTGTAACTGTTGTCCACAATTACAGGTATCAGGGAGCAGTTGATTGACTGATATGTGTGCATGACTGAAAGACACAGAATGTTCTTCAAGTTGAAGGGTATCACAAAGTAAGCTAGATTTACTTTAAGTAGTGATAGTAAACAAGTAGAAGAAACCTTGTCACATAAGCAAAATTAATCCCCTTAACATGCAGTCTTATTAAATAGATATTCATCTTAGCACTTAATATTCTAACATTATTGTAAATTATGCAGTAGTAGAGCTGGGCAGGATGACAGCATTCATTGTTATCTTGATAAACTGCATTATAGTATGTCACTATATGCTTTTCTGAGCATATTGTGGATATCGTCAGTTCTTACAAATCACTTTCTAACTATATGTTTGATTAAAATACAGCATTATTAGTCCTGTTAAGACTAATTATTAGCACAGTGTGTGAAATATTGAATACAAGTAATTGGATTCATTGTTTTTGATAGTATTTTTAATTTGTGGCATGACTTTGTCTGTTTTAACTTATCAGATGTTAGAACGAATGTACACTGAACATTGTGTATTGTTACAAACTTCCTGAAGTATTGTGATATTAAATTTTGCTATATTGCCCCCCTCTATGCAGTAGTCTCTGGTGCTCAGGGCATAGAGGTACATGGGCTGTCTGATATTTACTGTACGCTAAGCTGTCATCATTTTGTCACTTACCCTTTTCTGTACTGGTTACAAGCACACTCCCATCATACACTTCTGTTTTTTTATGCATTCAATTATCCAGCAATACAATGATGCCATACACTTAGAATGCTTGTATTTTTTTTACAGTAGTTATGGTCATTTCATTTGCAACATAAGCACCGAAAGAGCAAATGCAAACAAATCTGCAGGATAAGAGTTGTCCTGTGGCTCAGTCATGTTTGTAAGGTGAAGTAGGGAACCTAACGAACCTAGAGGAATAGGCAGTTGAGAGATATATAAGTCAGATGAAAATGAACTCCTCCATTCTATCCTCTATTGCTCTGTGTCAGTAATTCATACAATTATTCTGACGATTTGGAAAAAACTTGAATGTGACTTTTCAAATGAGACCAAGACCGTGATGGTAGCCCAAAGTATGTGGGAACAGCGCCCCCCCTTTACTTTGGGTATGCCATTTCAGGCAAAAACTTGTTAGTGTTAAGATTGTTGAGTGTTAAGACTGTTAAGAAGTTACACTCTTCTGGCTATTCACATGTCAGTGTGTATGCACTTCTGTGCACCATTGTTTATACATCTGATGGGAAACTTTTGCGGGCAATTGCCTGCTCAGCATATGGTGACAACAAGTCTTTTGGAGCAAAATATAGTTGCTGCATTGGAAAAACAGAGTCTTTAAAAGAGAGTTTTCTTTGAAGCGTTTAAAAGCTAGTAAACAAGATATTCTAGCCAATACATACTGTTTTGTTTCATGTGGGTCTGTTTTTGTTGTAGTGCTGTATGTGATCATTTTGAATGTCAGTCAAACTGAGCCAATCCTGGTAACCCCTTAAATGGCCAGGCCCAACTGGCAGGCCCAAAGTTTTATTCCACACTTCTATAACCTAAGAATAGCTCAGACAGTTTTCATTGCAGTCCCTGTAGTTACTGAATAATAAGCATTAGTATGTAATAAGCCTGGGATTTTAAGGTGTTAAAGTAGGCAGATCTGCTTTGAGAAAGACAGACAGCAATCCTTGGCCATGTTGAGCGATGAAACCCACCAGATTCTCTGATGATAGTTCTAACTGTATGATAACTACTAATATGCAAGTTATGTAGATATGAGAGTGAGGAGTTGAAGTTTGGGCCTTAGAGTTTAAGGGGTTGGATTTGAACTCTTTTGACCTACTCTTGAGAAAACTCAAGGCTTAAAGTGCTTCATAGGAATCAGAAGGTTTTCTAAGGACAGTGATGGTGCCGCATCCAGAATGAAGAGAGAGGAACAGAGGGAGAGGGAGAGAAAGTGAGAGGAACAGAGGGAGAGAGAGAAAGACAGACAGAAACAGAGTCAAAAAGAGAGAGTAATAAGTCCTTTGTGGTGCTCTGCATAATGAGAGCACGCTGGTAAAGGAGCATCTGCTCACAGCATAATAAATACCTCAGTGTTCCATAAACCTGCACTCTTTTTAATCTTCTATAGAAAGATAAACACCACGAGTCACTTGAGTCGAATGAAGGGTGATCCTGCTTATTTGAGGTGATAATTGAACTGGGAGACTCGTGCTTGTTGGAAGATATGTGTGGATTTAATGTCAGTGTGTGAACGCCGCTGCGGTGGTTTGATCTGAATTTTTCAGCTGCCTGACTTGACGTGATTGCGAGAGGAACTGTGGGCTTGTTATGGATCAATACGGTAAGCAGAGGAGGGGGGAGAAATAGATGTGCCCTGCTGCTGTGGAGAGGTGAAGGGCGTCCCTCCCGGCCGGGAGAAGTATGTGTTTAAAGAGGTCGAATGGAATCCCATCGATTAATAATTTACCTGGACGGATGTCTAGGAAAAGGAAAACAATGTGCTGCCGCCCTTCTAGACATTAATGCATCGACTGACTTCTGGGCTGTGTTGGCTGCAGAGAGAATATAGCTTTTGTAAGCAGTCTATACACTTACTGGGCACTTTAATAGAAACACCTGTTTTCTAGTGACTACAGCCATGGACAGTTAGTGTTAGGCATGTAAAGAACGGTTTAATACCTAAATAATATCCGGTAAACAATAGTCACCTGATTAGAAATTGACCAATGATGAATGCCTTAGAGATTGGCTGACAAATTGGACTACATTCTGTAATTGTACACCTATGGAGTTGACCTACAAGGTAGGTGGAGCTCATAAAGTGTCCATTGAGTGGAGCACAAGGTAGCAGTGTCTCAAAAAGTGAACAGTCAGTTATTTTATTATATTTAGAGACTGAATTAACTGATGGTTATTCAGACTAGTAATAGGTAAACTTGTTTTTTACAGTGCTTTTT